TAGTATATTGAAGCGTTATTATGCACCTAATTGTTATGGAGAAAATTTAAAAAAAAATGTTAATTTTAAATTCCCATGTTATTCTTATGGAGAATAAGTCAACTGTTGTAGTTTGCTTGTTTATGAACATATTTTGATCAAATTTGGAAAATACATTAATTTCTTACTAAACTACAGTACCTTTTAACATTTTACATTAAAAAAAAACTTTTTAACCCTCCCTGTTGTAGCAAACCTAAGTACTCATTTAACTAATTCTTTTTAAATAGGGAATAAATGTGATATTTTTAAGGAGACATTTTAGTGTAAATCCAATCAGGCAAATAAAAATTCGCTAAGTCTGCAGGTTTGCTGCGCCGGGGGTATTTTTGTAATTTAAGGTGTACTGTTTGTGATTATAATTTTATGTTTGTAGCATGATTGACCACTACTATTGCTGTATTCTGAGCAAATCAAAAACCATAATAGCTCTTATTCAGATCTGAATTATGTTCATGACAAATCCAAATGTATTTACTGATACATCTAAATACATCTTTCAGTTTACAGTAATATTTTGGGTATATATTGAAGGATGGAGTACAGTACTACTTACCAACAATTTTACTTGACTTGTGCCTGGAGTTAACTTGGCTGAAATTTATTTTAGTTGAATTTTTTAACCTTTATTCTCAGTTATAATAAACTAGTAGGACCTGTAAATCGTAAAGCGAGTTCGCAGGTGTACTCAATAGCACCAATTCTCGCCTAACAAACATATTAGGCTCAAGATTAAAATGACAAAGGATCGAGCGAAAACTCAGCAAGCATGAGTGAAGTGTTAACAAACTGTCCCATATACTTGCCAACAAATTATAATAAGCAATGTTTCTTAAAATTTGAAAACACTTTTTTATTAGTTTTGTGCTTCCAAATTTTGCACCCAGGGAATACGACCTTAACCACAAAAAGGGAATTGCACAAAATAAATGAAATATGTAGACCTAAATTAGGCCTATGGAGTATGAAAAATACAAGTCTCGGTAAAATATCTTTTATTCCCAATGAATTATTTACAAATATTATTTAAATAAACAGGTATTTATAACAAGTACAAAAGAATCTAGAATATCAACTATTGGCAACATATCTTCTACATAAGAACAACACTACTCAATCCATCTACATACAAAAACAAGTATGCTACAAAATTGGCACAAATAATACAACATCCTACTAACAAACTAATATATTTTTTGATAAAATATATTTTGGAAAAAAATTGAGTAAACAATTGATTGTTTTGAGTAGGCCTAGTCTAATTTATTTGTTAAAAGTACTCTTTTAACAAAAGCACAATAATTTTTAAAATTTGTTTCTTGTAAACTTTTATCTATTTATTTATACTATACACCTTAGAATTTCAATGAATAGTTTAAACTTAACCTTAGTGTTTTTAACAATCAGAGGCTTTTTAACATTTTGTGTATTACAATTCCAGCAAATAAAACCTATTGTAAATTTTAAAAAATAAGAAAAAACACAGTTGTATCTTGTACAGTATAAACAATACTTAAAAAATCTATTCCACAACAGTTCATAAATAATTTGTAACTCTAAAAAAATTCCCTAAACAATCTATTCCATAAGGCTACGGATTTAAACAACCACAACTGAATGTTGAAACTTCAACAGATCATGTTTCAACATCAATTTTGTTGGAGTCAATTCTGTATCTTCAGTCGAGGGAAAAATTCGAGGTGAAAATTCGAGACGTAGAACTTAGAGCACAGCATCTCCACCCTCCCCCTCCTGATGACAAAAAAAAAACGTCAATCACGACAAAAATCAACCAATTTCGCTTCCCAAAACTAAAAAATCTCTAAAAGTCCTCCATACATACCAATTTTTTTGACGGACAATTTTTAAATCTTTCTAGTAACATTTTTTGCTTGAAATTTACGACAGAAGGTAACCAATATCGATAAATAATTACAAACAAGTTCGGTAATTTTGTTCTCTACAGGAATTGTATGAACGGAGGAAAAATACAAGATTACTAAATCTCGTTACAACAATATACGACCCCGTCATTTTTTTCCATTTTTCAACAAGATACAGAATTGAGACAACAAAACAACCGAGAAAAGAACACTACATCGGCACATTGTTATAACGAGATTTAAATTCTTAAACTAGAACAAATTTCCATGCACCACTCACTATAACACAAATCGTTGATTATATTTTATTTGTAACCTAGCCTGGGTCAAAGAGGAAAACAAGTTTGTCTTTAAGGAAGAAACCAACTTGCTCTTGGTTCTAATCGGAATGTGTTTAAACAGTTTTAAAAGTTTATAGTTTGAAATATTTGTAAAACCACCACTGCTGTGAGTCAATAGCCTCGAAAACATGTAAAAATTAAGGATAGAAAATATTTAACATTTTAAATACATATTGAATGGTAAATTATGTATTTTATTAACACAAATCAAGAATAAAATATCAAACCAGTTTAAAATCTCTTATGTGGGTTAATGTTAGTAGAGTTAATAGTTTTGTGCATTATTACCTTAAAAGTTTAGCTGTACAATGTGAGTGCTATGATATTTTGTGATAAAATACTATGTTCAGAAATATAAAGTTTTATATCTATTGAAATTAATTATGTAGTTCTCTATTAAAATATTCTGTATGATATGTAATTACCCAATTGACAAAATTATTGAATTTAAAAACCTGGTTTCTATTAAATACATGTTATACCCCCAAGTTGAAAAAATCTATATTTCACCATTACTTTAATAATCACACTCAAATGAAAAATAATTTAACAATCCATAATTTTGAATATGTTTACGCTTCAATTAAATATATATTATTACAAAATCCATCAATGATTACTAAAGTAAAATGGAGTCAGCTTAAAGCAGAGGTTAATTGTACCAAAAATAGTGTAGAAACAATTAAGAAATTGTAAATTTACAATTATATTTATGAAAAGTTTGAGCAGCATATACTTGTGCATGTTAGTAATCAAGTGCAAGAACCATTATTTACAATAAAGAATTTAACAACATTTATATTTAGTTTGAGAGAATTAAGATATTTTGACAGTTTGTTAAGACTTGTGTAGTTTAAGATAATAAATTTTGTTTATTAGAATAAGTGAGGCAAGAGATCAACACCATTTTCACATTCAAAAACATTTTTTTATAAATGTAACAAATTACAAAGAAGCACCATTGTATCTGTGAAATCGTGTTGAGAAAAGGAAGCTTGAATTCAATGTAGAGGAAATTCACTTATTAAAAATGTAGGAATAAATTGTAGCCACAGAGAAGTACGGTACAGAGGAAACAAGATTATGGGACAACCGTATGTTCACTTTTAGTACTGATATGTTGAGGCGGAAATGTAATTGTGACAAGCAATGAAGAACCTGAATGGCGAGCACTTTGCGGAAATTCCTATCGCATACGGCTCAGGGTCTTCTCCGCCATGAGCGTTGTAGTACAAGAAGGCGAGGGGGTTGTGCGGGACTTTGTCCTAGTCACCAGCACTAGTGCTAGACACCACTTATGCAGTGTATCCTCTGTTCCTTACTTCTCTGTTGTAGCATTGTTTTATTAAGTACACTTCTGATTACAGAGAAAATCCGATTAACTAGACTTAACCTAGATTGATACGAACGGAAGATAAAAAAATTTGTGTAACATGACTATACCATAGCGGGAAAGTCGAGACAAACCCCTAGGCCGCCTGTCTGTACTCATAAGATTCGTGAGTCAAGACTTATGATAGTCAAGACTACCAATATCTTACCACATTAAGACCATATTTCAAACTCAACTTAACGTAACTTACTACTAGAATGAAAAAGGGCAATAAACAATGTTTTCTCCTAAAGATCAACCTTTTTTCAACAAGTATTAATTACCAGAAAAATAGTTATTTTGGTAACTCCTACCACCATGATAATGGATAAGCAGAGTCTTACTGTATTTCATTTTTAGATTGTTGGAACCAATCATAACAATAAGACTGTTAAATTGTTTGACTTAGGAAACAATGTAATCTGAGATTGGAAAAGAAGGGCTAAGGTAATGTGAAAATAATAGAAACGCTATTTTAAAACTTTATGCTGCTCCAAACAAAACTTTGCAGTGTCATAAAGAACACCCACCAAATGAAATTGGGGTTATAAAAACAAGTTTCAAAGCTTTCTTGAACTTCCCTGCGTATTTAAATTTTTTTAAAGATATGAAACTTCAACAGTTTTGTGCTTTCTTTTGGTACAAGAGACTTTTAGAACTGGAACAATTCAGGAGAAGTAGAAAGGGTGTTTGAGAAAATGGGAATATTTGAAACTTTATGATCAATTTGAGGTGTTCTTTTACAAATCTGGTAGTTAACGGATTGCTTGAGCAAGAAAAATGTAACACAAGGTTAATTCTGCTTGAACGAAAAAACCACAAACACTCGTAAACCTGATTGTCTTATACTTTGCTGGACTATTTTAGACTATTTTTTACATTTAGTTATTGAAATATATAAAGTTTGGTCGCATGTTTGGTTCAAAACATGACATAGTGTTCAGTAGATTCCTAACATATATTATCCAAAATATTGGATGGTGATGGACTACAAGTAAGTTCTAAAAGATAACTATGTAACAATTCTTAATTGCATTCCTAAATTAATTTAAATAATTTTTTTTGCGGGTGGAAATGATTGCATTTCAAGCCAATGTTTACAAACAGTTTTAATTAATATAATCCTTCAGTATTTTATCTGTTAAAAAAGAGTGGTGTTAATTTCTTGTGCCTTTTAATATTGCCTCTTAAATTATTTAGCCAATCTGTAGTTAAATATTTTTATAGATAAAAACCAACAACAGCGATTTACTTAAATAAAACAATTATGTCATTTATTTTATGTTTTCAAGATGTTTGATGACTAGCCACAAAACAAGACATAATTAAAATAACAGTGAAAAAAGAAAACACAGTGTAATTATATTACTTGATAAATAATTCAAAACTTCATGCCTTGGTTGTTGAAAGGAATTTGTTTATTTTTATTGTTACAAAGGTCAGAGAATTCATTTTATAAGTGTAAATAAATATAGTTAGTTGTTAATTTATTATAGTGGTAATGTTGTAATCAATTAGTGCTTAGTAAAAAATAAAGATAAGTTAAGTCGACTAGTATTAGTAAATTACTGCTTGTTTGTAGTGTTCAAACCCTATGATAAAAAAGTGATAATAAAATATGATAAATATAGAGATAAGCAAATTTAAAAGTAAAACAAAAAAACATTGTTTTTAATTCATCTAAACACAAATAACAAGTAGATTGCTGCATATCATTTCACTAGATTTCGGCTTGTATTGGTCCCTCTTCATTTGTTCAGCTCACACAACCCGATGTGCTACAAAAAATCTGCTACATTACGACTCTACCTCAACCCGTAACATAAACAGTGGGAAACATTTTTAGAATGAAGTGGAGCGTTACTACATCAAAGGAGGCTACAATATGGCTTGGTCTGGAGATTGTTAAAGGTAAGATTCGGAAAACTCAAAGTCGCTGGCGCTGGCCCGGGAAGAACGGGTGTACACGGATACTCCTCCACCAAACGCTGAGTCTGACGTTCCTGCGTCTGTGATGAAGTCAGCTACTATCAAAGTGTCTTTATTTACCGTCAGGAGTCCGGCTGTCTGCTCGGGTAAAGTTCCGCCTCCACCTCCGCCGCCCTTCTCCTTCTCCGTAAGTCTCTGCTTCAGTAGGCGGATCTTCTCTTCTTTCTGGGAATTAAATTAGATTAGATCTACATACCACGGATTAAAGCTTTCACTATAAGTTTGAATAGTGATACGAATAGTGATATGAATAGTAGTACTTAATTACTTTTTAATGAAATGGCAACCATACAAAGTAGGTATTTTAAGCCAAGTATGAATGGAGATGAGTGTAGGATGAGTGGCGCTTCACTTAAATGTCTTTTACATGCATCTCGTTGAGTCAGCCATTATTTAATAGTTTTCACTTCCTAAACAGTAACAAAGCTTGAACCAACAAACTTAACAATTACATAACATGAGTATAAACTTATAAATTGAAACATAAAAATAGTTGAGCAAAGAAAACTGTAACAAGATCGATACAAGTAATACTGTAATATTTTACCTAAAACTACTTAATATGAGTATAACAAGTATTAAAATTTAAATATCAACAGTAACAAGTTATTAAAATGACTATAAAGATTAAACACAACATTCAATTATAATTTAAATTTTAAAACAGAAACATATTCTTTAGACACAGCTGTTAATTAATAGCCCAGTACCTGGGGACCGAGCTTTGCTCGGAGAAAATCATTAGTTCACTCTGAAAGCAGTCTTAGTATCGGAGATACATAAATCTGTTCCCAAACTCCACACGGCTCGCCTTTACAACGTCCTACACCATTTCCTTGTCATGGACCTGTTTCCCTCCATTCCCATAGCACTTTAAGATTGTAGATACCTTAATCTAATCGTTATTAACAGTTCCCACACTCCGGACAGCTCGCCTTGACTACTTCCTTCACCACTTCCAACGTAGCGGACCTGTTTTTCTCCCTTCCCATAGCATTTCAGAATTGCAGATACGTTAATCTAATCGTCATAAACAGTTCCCACACTCCATACTAATCGCCTTTACTACTTCCTTCACCACTTCCTACGTCGCAGACATGTTTCCCTCCCTTCCCATTGCATTTAAAGATTGCAGATACATTAATCTAATCGTCATAAACAGTTCCCACACTCCGGACAGCTCGCCTTGACTACTTCCTTCACCACATCCTACGTCGCGGACCTGTTTCCCTCCCTTCCCATTGCATTTAAAGATTGCAGATACCTTAATCTAATCGTCATAAACAGTTCCCACACTCCGGACAACTCGCCTTGACTACTTCCGTCACCACTTCCTACGTCACGGACCTGTTTCCCTCCCTTCCCATAGCATTTTAGGATAGCCCATACCCTTATCTAATCGTCATAAACAGTTCCCACACTCCGGACAGCTCGCCTTGACTACTTCCTTCACCACTTCCTACGTCACGGACCTGTTTCCCTCCCTTCCCATAGCATTTTAGGATTGCAGATACCCTAATCTTATCGTCATAAACAGTCCCCACACTCCGGACTGCTCGCATTTACTACTTCCTTCATCACTTCCTACGTCACGGACCTGTTTCCCTCTATTCCCATAGCATTTTATGATTGCCTTTACTACTTCCTACGTCACGGACCTGTTTCCTTCCCTTCCCATAGCATTTTAGGATTGCAGATACCTTAATGTATTCGTCATAAACAGATCCTAGACTTCGCACTGCTACCCTTGACTACAATGTCTCGAGTAATCTTAAGTATAATCAATCTTTGGTATAATCTTTGCTCAATATTAACAAGTGATGTTTTTCCTTTTGTACTGTATTTGTAATTTGCTAGTATACTTGCAATTAACTTGCTAGTATACTTGCAATACTTGCAATTGCTCTGTCTAATCGTTTCAAACCTTTAACCCCTCATGAATCTGAGACAATAATAACAAAATATAATGAAGAACACTGTACAGCAAATATTTCAAAAAAACATCAAAGTAAACAACAAGGAAGTAAAAAGCAAGGGTCTGTTGGAAAACTCACCAAACCAAATCCTGTGAGGGGGCAAAGTAGACCTCATCAAGAAACAAGCAAACTAACCGATAATAGCACCAAAAATAAAGTCTATGTGTTTGCCGATAGCCATGGCAAAGATCTGAGCAGTCTGATACAATCCCTATTACCAAGGAATACAGACACTTTCGTGTATTGTAGTCCTGGGGCTACAGCCAACCACGTTATAAATGAGGCTAAGAAAACAATAAACGGTTTCTCCAAAGATGACACAGTAGTGGTAATAGCAGGAGCCAATGACATCAGTAAAACTTGTCACACTGGACAAGACCCTGAAGATTGTATACCTGAATTATACAAGAATCTCAAGTCAGCAAATGAACACACCAATGTTGTCTTTGTGTCCCAAGTACATCGCCATGACCTTGCATGGGATAATATAATCAACAAAAAAATATACAGATTAAATTATAAATTGAAACAGCAAAATATCAATATGATTAATATAAGCGATTTCAAAAGGGGGTTTTTTACTTTGCACGGCCAACACCTGAACAAACTAGGTAAACAAGTTTTAAGTCGCAGAATTGCAGATTATGTCTTGAACCTTGAATTTAACAAGCGAAGAACCATTGTCTCTGCACATAAAACAGTGCAGATCATAGAGGTGGCAGACATGAGTGAGGTCATAGAGCAGTACCGCAATGATGCGCAGGTGGCTTTTGCACACTGCATCTCAGCCGACCTGGACAGTAGTAAGCAAATGTCCCAAGGAGTAGCAACAAGATTTAGAGATAAATTTGGGAAGCCAAAAAGCACAGATTATTGCAGTGATCATTTAACCTATCAGAAAACAACATCTGGAGCAAGTGTATATGGCCTGGTGACTAAACCTCTATACTACCTAAATGCTAACAATTTCTCAGACTATAAGGATACATACGATATGGCTTTCACTAATCTGATGAAAGATTTTAAAGCTCGTAATCTGGGAATGCTAGTCTGTCCCGCCATGGGTTGCCTTAGGGACCGAGTGCATCCAATCCAATTCGTAGAAAATATATTAAAGTTTAAATCATACACTGGAGCAGATGTTCTTGTTGTGACCTATGATGATACCTCCAAGAAAAACCTCCGTAATGGACTTTCACACACTACATTTATTAATTACATTAACAGGATTTTGGTAAATAAGCTTTATAGTGAATACTACTCAAAAAGTAGTTTCCATGAACACAAAGACCCATTGCTAAATGTTCAACTGGCAGATGCGACAAGTAGCCTAACAACAGCTACACCCCTGACTAGAGAGGACAGCATGACTCCGACATCCCTTGGTTCCAGTGACTCTGGGGTAGCCTCACAGCTCTCCATGGAAGCCAGTATAGGAGCTCCTCATCAACCTGACTCCACAATAACAACCAACCTGATGTCTATGGAGGAATATCCACCGCTGTCGACCCGATCAACCCCTGTGTCTAGTGATGAAGTGCTGAATGTGTCTAGCGGTGATAACACGGAAGATGAAGAAATTAGTGGAAAGAGTGATAGTTGTAAGGAAAACGATAATGTCATACCTCCTGCTTCTTTAAACGGTTTTGGAGAAATGGAAAAAACTCCAACTTAGGTCAATTCCCATCAACTTCAAAAAATAAAAGTAAAAATATTTCAAATATAAGAATATTTCATCAGAATATTGAAAATTTAATTTCACGGATTGACTCGCTGGAAATAGTTTTAGATGAAATAAAACCCCATATCGTAGTATTAACTGAACATAATTTAAAAAATGATGAAATGGCCAGACTTAATATAAAAAATTTTAGTGTCAATTCTTATTATTGTAGAGAGACCACCACAAAAGGAGGTGTCGTTATTTTGTCTAGTAAATCTATTGAGTGGAAGCAGGTGGTAGAAATCAAAATTCATAATCTAGGAGTAGATAAAAAATTTGAGTTTTGTGCTGTGAAATTCATAGTTAATAAAAATATGTTTGTACTAGTAGGCATATATCGCTCCCCGAGCACAAATCCTTTTGAATTTATAGAGCTTTTAAACGAGTTAATAATGAATCTACTTCCTATTTGTAGTAATCTCATAATTGCTGGGGATCTAAATATAAATATTATTAATAACGAAAAAGATTGTAAAGCACTATGCAATATGTTGAGTAGTCATGGTATGTCTCACTTAGTTACATTTCCCACAAGAATAAGTGAAAAAAGTCAAACATGTATTGATAATTTCCTTACATCTATTTCAAAAGCACAAACTAAAGTAGAAGGTGTGATCACTTATCTCTCTGACCAGGATGGTCAAATTTTAGATTTTTTATTTGATATACCTCATTGGGAAGGTGGAAATAAAACAAAATATAAGAGATGCTTTTCAAAAGATAATGTAAACCTATTTCTTGAATCACTTAAAAGTGAAAACTGGAATGAAGTTTATTTTTCATGTGTGGAGGACAAATATGATAAGTTTCTCAATATTTTTATGTATCATTTTAACTTAGCTTTTCCTAAAAAAGTTAAAAGGATAAATTATAAACAAAAATCCTGGGTCACAGAAGAAATAAAACAGCAAAGAAACAATATTATTGACTTAGAAAAAGAAGCTAGAGTAACAAAAAATAAAGAATTGAAGAAATGTGTTAAAGAGAAAAATAAGTTATATAGGAAAATGTTAAAAGATTCAAAAACCAATTTTTATAATAAGCAGATAAATGAATCAGAAAATGTCATTAAAACAACTTGGAAAATAGTAAATACTGAGGTTGGAGTTCTGCCCAAAAACAAACAAAATCTAGAATTGACTGTAGATAATAAGAATGTATCTGATGTTTTAGTTATAAGTAATTTGTTAAACAATTATTTTATAAACTGTATAAAAGATCTTCAAACAAAACCAGATATAGAACCTAGTGTACAGAAAAATAGTCTTTCAAGTAGTTTCTCTCCTCATAATCAGACTTTTCGCTGTGAGCCCACAGATGAAAACGAAATTATTAAAATATTAGATTCTTTAAAAAATAAGCAATCATATGGGTTTGATGAAATTCCTGTAACTATAATAAAATCTGCAAAAATACACCTATGTAAAATCTTAGTTCATCTGGTTAACTCTTCTTTAATATCTGGCATTTTTCCAAAAAAATTAAAAATAGCCTATCCAAAGTTGTACCTATACATAAAAAAGATTCTACAAAAGACATGTCCAATTATCGTCCAATTTCGATTCTGCCATCCTTTTCAAAAATTTATGAAAAAGTTGTGTACAGAAGATTATCCCAATTCTTAGAAAATTCAAACATTCTAGATATGTCCCAGCACGGTTTTCGGCCCGGAAAATCGGTTTTCACTGCAGCCGTTCCTTTTATTGAATCCATCATAGAGTCCATAGATAAAGGGGAGAACGTAGTGGGCATATTTATGGATTTAACAAAAGCTTTTGAAAGCGTAAATCATCATCTATTACTTGATAAATTATTGAACTTTGGTGTCAAGGGAGTTGCATACAATTGGTTTAAGTCATACCTTTCCGACCGATATCAGTATGTTGAAATTAACCAAACCATTTCAAATAGGATCACGGGCGCAGCATCGGACTTATGTTTGGTCTCATGTGGCGTCCCACAGGGATCGATTCTGGGTCCTTTGCTGTTCTTATGTTACATAACCGGACTTCCTGAAGTGCTACAGACTGTTCCCCATAGTAATTTATGTTTATATGCAGACGACGCAAATTTAAAAATCTCAGCAAAGAACCAAAATGAAATTGAATATTTAAGTTTTATAGAACTAGCTAATATAAAGCAATACTTCAATAATAATAGTCTTTTGTTAAATCCAAATAAAACTAAATTTATTACATTTTCCACAAAGCAAAATCGTAAAAAAATATCTCCAAATATAATGATTGAAGATGAAATTATTGAACAAGTGAATGAGGCTAAATTTTTAGGTCTATATATTGATGAAAACCTATGCTGGGACAAACATGTCGAACATATATCAAGAAAAATTAACTCCGGTTTATTCGCCTTAAGGCGTATGGCCAGCCTATGCTCATTGCCTGTACTAAAACAAATATATTTTGCTCTGATTCACTCTAATATTTCTTATGGAATTGGCTTGTATGGTGCAACAACAATAAATAATCTGAATACAATTCTAAACCTACAGAAAAAAGCAATTAGATGTATGCTCAAACTTGAAGATGATGACTCCGCAAGAGAACACTTCAAAAATCTTAAAATTTTAACTGTGTATGGTCTGTATATTTTTGAATGTATCTTATTTTTTATAACAAAAACTTATGTACAACCAATAGGTCATCAATATAATACAAGAAGACAGACCGAAAAACATTTTGAAAAACATAGATTGGAATTTTTTAAAAAAAAGACGACATACATTGGCAATAAATTCTTTAAAGCACTTCCGAATGAACTAAGATCAGAAAAAAACAATAACAAACTAAAATGTAAATTGAAAATATATTTGATCAACAAACCCATGTACTCAATAGAGGAATTTTATGAATACAACAAAATTATGAAGCAGTAGTGATAGTTTTTTTTTTTTTAATTTATAATTGTATTGTTTTTTTAGTTTTATATTTGACGCCATTTCTTGTAATGACATGTACAAGGACAAATAAAGTGATTTGATTGATTGATTGATTGATTGATTGATTACTGTGGGTAGTTGGTTTATTATGAACACGTGCTACAACTTCAAGTCTTTTGTTTACCTTTTCCTTGTTATTTAATTCAACCAACATGGTTACTTAGCAACCCATAAGACTAATGTTAAAAAAATGTGACTTTCAGTTTTGTTTTTCTACGTAATTAGATTTTTGTTGGCAGTTCTAACTGCATGACACTTGTTTTTTTAGGCCAAAAATAAACTATTTACAAGATTTGAAGAAAATCGTCGGAGCCGTTTTTGAGATCTTTCTGCAAGCAAGCAAGCAAGCAAGCAAGCAAGCAAGCATACATACAAGCAAACATTGCTCGTATTAGAGTATAGGATACAGCTATAATGGTAACTAAGGGATCTAAAGTTTATAGTGGAATCCGAACCACATTTTTGCCTTTGTCAAGTCAAGTCAAGTCAATCATTTATTTTCACACAACGTTTTACAGATCCAGCATAGCTGGGAAACAGGTGAAATGGTCATGGACAATTAAAATACATAAAACTCTAATAACTATACAATATGCTAAAAAATCAAATATATACATCATTTAAAAAATCATTAACTTTGTAATACCCTTTATTAAGCAGCAATTTGGTAACTTTTTTTTGTATTTTTCAAAAGATTCTAATGATTTAATATTATCAGGCAGTTTATTATCAGGGCTAGAGATATGTTTATTATACAGTTTTTTCCCCTAGATATTGTGGAATAGATATGTAGGAACCTTTGAATTATCACATGGATAAATGATGATTGTCCGGATTTGAGCCCAGGACCTCCACGATCAAGCACTCTACACTAGACAACCTCTCTCCAAACAGACATGATTAGACATGATGATCTACTACTCTAACAACACTGGTCAACTAAAATCAAAAGCATAGTAATTTAAAGTTCTAAGGTTGACTCCGAGGTCGTAGCAGATGTAGAAATTTGGTTATGTCACTTTTTTTATTTTCCACTATCAGATCTTAGAGCTCAAAGGGGATGCTTTTTATTCAATAACTACAGTTCACAACAGTTTAAATAATTGATTTACCTGAGATATTAACTTTTGCAGTTCGTCATTTTCAATGAGGAGTTTTTGATATCTGTCTTCATCTTCTTTGGAAACACCAACGTCTGGATTGTATTTGGACTCTGCTTTGTCTCTCGGGTGGCGAATGATCTCAATAACCTGGAAAAGACATACACATCAATCCAACATGAATAATTTGTTATATGGATAGCCAATAAATAGCATAGGCCTATATATGGGATTTCAGGAGTCGTCCAAAACTGAGAAGAGTCCACAAACCTTCAGCCAAGAAAATTAAATTTGTTGTGTGGTAAAAACTACTTTATGTTCTGTATTTTAGCATTTTGACATTTTTTTTATTTTTGGGGCGAGTGGGACGTCCAATTCCAACTCACGAGACGCACTTTGAAAACCTCATAGAACAGAAAACAAAATTCACACACCTTTGGTACGAAAATCAGGGCCATTGATAGAAAGCAGCAGAAAATCAGAGCCAGGGCAACAAAGGCAAAACTAGCGTCTTGCTGTGAGGCGATGACCATAGTGACGGGTGCTGTGATGAGACAGAGAACCACCACGTTGTAGATGGACATCCCGACGTAGCGACTGTCGTTGATCTGCTTCACCTTGATGCTGCGAGTCTCATAGGCCAGGAACAGTCCAAACACCAACACTAGACCTTTGTAGCCATAGACTAGACCTGCAAGCAAACATTGTGATGGTAAATACGTTGTTGACACAGGTTTATGCCCTAAATATAAATTCATAACTAAATCTTCAGCTCCTAAAAGTTTTAACTTATTAGCAAATAGATGACTTTTGTGGTCCTCCATTCCCTGTCACTTCTCACAACCACGTTAGCAAAAAAATTAGCTAAACTAGATATTTTTTTAAAAAAAGGTTGACTTGGCTCCACTTTTAAGTAAAAGAATAGACATTTTTATTGGCTGAGAGAAAATGACACGGAGAAACAATTTTTTTCCCTACATTTTACAATATAAAACAGTGTCCTACCCAATCGCTTTATACAACCAATTATTCATAATGACGTTGTCTTCCTCAATATACTTTACTAAGCCATCTTTTTCGGAAACATGAGTGTGACTATGAAGCACCTAGCGTCCTAGGACAAAAAAAGGTCCAATCAGTGATCCGTTGAATAATTTTTAGGTTAACACACAAACTAGATATGGCAACGACCAACCAAACACCTACCAAGCCACACATTGTTGCTGTCGCTCTCGCAATGTTCTAGTTCCGGGCGGATCTTGATGTCGTCGTCAGTGTTGACCGGATCTTCCAGAGGAAACACTTCGATTCTCCGCTGCATCGGGTCATAGATCTGCCAGGCGAGGAGGAACACAAGGTCTATGACGAGCAAACCTCCCACCATCGTGTACAGCTTCCACGGTTCAATCTTTTTCTATTAATGAAAGAAAATAATATACCCAGACATAAAATGAGACATCTGGTGCAGTTTGGTTGTTACTTATAAAATTTTTCTGATGGACGTAGTTGTAGTTTTGTAAAATCTGTTGGGTAACTAAACTATATTTTAACTTCCAACAAATTTTACGATTAACTGACAATTATGTCTGTATCCACCAAAAAATTAGATTTAATGTTACTGTAAACCATTAAAATTTTGATTAGTATTTTTAATGCCTCTTTCTTACTTGCATACAAATTTACTTTATTATGATTTATTCTGTTTAGTGTGATGCCAATATACTACGTTCGCAAAATTCAGTTGGTTTTGGAGGAAGAAAAATATCCTCTCACTCGATCCTAGGCCTACCTTTAAAACAATAGCTAAAGAGCTGAAGTTGATTGGCTACATTATACAGTATTACTTAGCAAAATAAGTAGTGGAACTTCTTCTCAAACTGTGTAGATTTTGTGAACGGACTATAGCAAAATTAGCCTTCAGGCATTGGTTTTTAGGTACTGAAATAGACATAACATCTGTGGAGCAGCTGCAGCCATTTTGTATTGAAACAGAACATAGTTGAATAATCCATTCACTGAGATGGATGTAATAAAGTAGTCCTTTTTTGGCTTAGTTAAAAAGTTGGCGTATTTTAAGGAAATCAGTCATTTAAATCAGTATATCCTATATAGTCAATTATTTGTTTATTTAAGTTCTTAAAAATGAAGAAAGGAATTGCAAAATTTATTTTTTTGGTGGTGTAAATATGGGAAAAAAATGTTCCCCTTTAAAGGACTTCCCTTAGTTCAATCATGTTGGTTGCCAAACACTTTCGTCTTTCAAAATAAACATAAGTTTGTAACAAATCTCATCAAAATCAAATCATTTATGCTCCAGTTATGGACTCATATACATATAGGCCTATGAATTTGAAAGGGTGGTGCCTTTGGCCTCTGGAGATCTCAAAACTAAAAGTAAATCGTTCCCTGGACCAGGTCTTACCATGACACCTACTCAGTAATAGCTTATTTCCTACATGGGGATATCGCTAACATGAGAATGGAATGTTTAGTTCTATCCATAGTTAAGGCTTCAGCTTTTAGTTCAAACTACAGTAGACCCTCTCTTAACCGACCTCGTATTAACCGATAATCGGATTATCCGCCTTCGATCGTAAAATATTACAGTTTGTTTTAACCGACCTTGCTTTGAGAGCAGTTCAGTTTAACTGCCGCTTTCTAGGAACCTCGGCATTTCCGCTCCCACACTGGGCGATGAGAACCGAACCATACGCTTATCTCCACTCCACAGGATGTGACTACGAATAAGTTATTTTGTATGGATCACAAAAAATATAGCATATTGTCAGTTTGTCTTCATTGTTTGTAGCGCGGGCAGATATGATCTGATTTGTTATCTGTGGTTACCATTTTGAGAACTGATTATCTTATCACTTGAGTAAACAAACAACGCAATTTGTAGGGAGGGCAGGGAAGAGGGGTTAACAACCCCAAGGTCAAGATAGTTTTTGTGCCTCTGAGCCTCCAGTGAGAGGCTATAAATGAACATACTGTCTCGTAACAAAATGGTTGCTTGTATCTTTAATTTCGACAAAAGGTTCTGTACTGTATTACGATGGATTTGGAAAGCATCAATTAATACATTACAGTCCTAAAGTAATTAAAATAAGAATTTTTATTGACTCTATGCCTAGTACTATAATCTATTCCACTAAAAGTAGGCCTATTTGACTTAACCGTGTTTTGTGTTTATTTGTGACTTTTCTATCAAGACGAAAAAAAGGAGATAAAGAGTAGTTTATTTTATAAATAATGCAAGTATGACTTCAAAATAATGATTATATAATTCTAAATGTATAGCACTTCATTATGTTATGATTTAAGGGATTGCCTGTTTTAACCGACCTTTTGAGTCATCCGACCTAGGTCCGGTCCCATTAGGGTCGGTTAAGAGGGGGTCTACTGTAGTTGGTTACAGGGATGTTTGATGTTTTAAATAAAGTATTTGAGTATTGGTTAATATACTGAGCTATGTCAGCCCACTTTTCATTACTTTCTACTTCATTCTATGAAATTAAGGTTTTAAAAACTGATTTCAACAAAATCCCAGGTTATAAAGAATTGTGTATGGATGGTAAAGAGAGAAACACGTTAAGAGAATATTTATATCATCTTCAGAATATTTTATTTCACAACTGTCAATAAAAACAAAAGAGGTAATGAGTTAGCCCTAGATATTCTTTCTTAATATGAGTATTATTTAGTTATAATAATATTTTAAGTGTATTTTTAATCCTTACGAAAAAGGCAAAACATTAAATGTTAATTCAAATATCTTAATAATGTTTACATATTGTGCTATCGGGAATTCAATCAAGGCAGCTTAAACTTTAAAATGTAAATACTAAAAATATACTCATACAATTTGCTTAAAAAATGTGAATGTGAACGAAATGTGTAACTTATTTCATTAGCAGTGAAGGCTGAAAGTGTTGGTGAAAAAAATGGAAAACAGCTTATCCTGAATAAAATATTAAGTTTTTTTTTCATAAACCAATAAACCATGCACTTTCAGTTTTTATATGAATAAAGTAAAAACTAACACCTCTAAAGCATATTTCTTACCTATGTGTGTTATATACATTGTGTAATATCTCAAGTATTCCAGCCAAGCGGTTCATCAAAAAAATTGATACAATGTGATTTGTAGATTGAAAAAAAATGCTTTTTACACTCACTCACCACAAACTTCAGTTTTCCGTTTCTACTTATAATTTTTGAGAGAGATTTGTTCAAAGCCTAAAACCACATGAGTAATTTCAGGATTGCTTTTTTCATGCTATAAGATATTCTATAATGTTATAGTAGTAATATTAATATTAGTCACTTTGTCAGTAACGTTAGTTGCCACAATTTAACCACCATCTTCCACAAAAATTGAATATATTTTTCTATCCCATTTCCAAAAAGTTGAAAATGTTACATAAGGCAGCTAAGTGTACAGGGAGACACAAACATCTAACCACCAAGAGCTCAGGCAACAACAACAAAGGTAAATCTAATAAAAATTGTATGTCCTGCTACCAAAAAGTTATAAAAATTAAATTAATAACCAAATTAACTTTTGTTTGCATCTATCTTTTGTGCAAATTAATTCAACTATCCTAAACTGACATTGTTCAAAGTTACAATGGAGTTTTAAGCTTTGCTACTGAAAAAAATCATTCTTGGATGAAAATGTATTTATGGAATTTAATATTTTTCACCATCTACAACAGCAATAATTTTATTCCATAGAAGTAAATAACTGGAACGCCCCTACATTTCAGGGGCATCATCTAACGTACAACTTGAGATAAAAAAATATTTATCGTGTTTTAACCTCATTGATATATAGGGCTGAAAGTGAAACAGCTGTTCACATTTAAGGCGGGGACACACTTGTCATACACCCTACCGATCCTACTACGATCCGATTTGCGGGATTCCAGAAGGATCGGTGCGGGATCGGAGGGGGTGAACACACATGTCATACACGCTTCCGAACTGGCGACCCATCTCCGATTTCCTCCACCGGGTAGATCAACACTCGCCAGTCTGATTCGTAAACGTAAACCACGTGCAGAAGGTGATAAATACTGTACCTATGTTCAAAAACTTTGGTATTCAGGATTTAGCCATGGTGGCGGTTTGTCTAGATGAAGAGGAAGAAAGTCAGACATCTCTGGAGGGCAGTGGAAAACGGAGAATTTGGGTCCATTCTGCATGGAAGGAAAGCAGAAGTGCCCATTATATTATAGGTTTTTCTCTCTCAAGTTTGTTTAGCTCTTCTACCCGTCCGATTTTCATGATTGAGGTCTCAAATTGAAGGTATGCACGCACAGATTTCAAATCAAGCATCGGCATATATTTATCTTAAACCATTGTTCCTAAACCTTAAGAATAAAGGTTATTTTTCAGAAACAACCCATCCTGCATCCGACAAACGAATAGACTGCAGTGTCGGTGCGTGATCGGAGTCAAAATCGGAGTAGGATCGAAGTATGACGTGACGCGTGTCGGAGAGGTGTAAACAACCGCGTTCAATGTTAAGTACCATTCCCCTCTCCGACAGTCGTACCACAGTATGATCGGAGTCGGATCGGAAGGGTGTATGACAAGTGTGTCCCCGCCTTTAAGGAACAAAAAAAGGTGTGCTGTCTTAGACAGTGAATTTTTTCTACTTAGGCTATATGAGCAACTCTTAATTAACAGTCCCACAATATTTATATTTCTCATTTAATCTCATTAATCACATTAATTAGATTTTCTCTACTAACTCTCGTTCTCATCTCATTGCAAAAATATTCAACACAGTAAGGAATACGTTTGTTTCCCATCCAAACACTTCTAATAAAAATTCCAAAAGTCAAACATGCTTACCAGAGTGTCGGACTTCGCCTTGGTAGTGAGACGATGCACTCGCCACACCTTGCTGAACATGGCTCCATACGCGAGAGTGAATCCAAGCGAGAGGAACCATACGCGAGCCTGGCAGACGAGAGGGTAGACCAGTGGAGAGACAAAATGGCCGTCAAGTCCAAGCAAGAACACGGACGAGAGACAGATTATGACTCCCACAAGCATGATGGTGTTGCAAACAGGATGGGAAGATTGGATCACCCTGTGAACAGAAGACGACAAATACTTGATGAAGACATTTCAATGAGGTCTATGGTAGGGTTTCCATTTGATTTGGAAACCATAACATTTTTAGAGGTTTGTTTTACCTGTTTACAACTATAGGAGGTTTTTTTTAACGCAAATTAAAACTACAGTGGTTCACTGTGAAGGGACAAATCAAGCTCAAATGTTGGCAGCTCGCTTACTCTACTTCATTATCAGCTAATATGCACTTCAGTATTGCTGAATAAACGGTTTAGTGTCATTGGGATTTATTGTGACTTAGAATCAACATAGTGTTTTCCCAGCTCAATGGTTGTTTTAAAGCATCAGGACTCTAGCTAACAACATTGTTTTGCTTTGGATTTGTAAGCTAGTATTTCCTGATTTTGGGAGATAGCAATGAAGGTCCAGCACCTTTGCCCCTGTGTCATAATATCAGTATTAGTCTAGGCATATTAGGAAAGTTAGCAGAAAGTTTAGGTACAGTCCTAATCCTACACATCCTTTGTACAGTCCTAAATTTTGGTTTTTCGGGCAAATCTCGGTAAGTATGGGTTTTTGAGAAAATCCTACTTTGTAAAATTAAAGATGACAAAATTTACTACAAGTTTCCTATATAATGTTTGTTTCTACGACGAACCTTTTCGCCACTAGAGCACACTAAAAAAGGCCAGAAGTACAACAAATTAAAAACATTGCTAAATGCTGCCGTTTTACATTACGTTTCCATGGAAACAACCCATGTTACGATAATTTTAACCATTTATTCATGATAACAAACTGAAACACACTTAAAAATACCCCCGCCGCAGCAAACCTGCAGACTAAGCGAATTTCCATTTCCCTGATTGGATTTACACTAAAATGTCTCCTTAGAAATATCACATTTATTCCCTATTTAAATAAAAGTTTAACGAGTACTTAGGTTTGCTGCAACAGGGAGGGTAAAAAGGTGTTTTTTTGTAAAATGTAATAATTTAGTATGAAATGAATGCATTTTCCAAATTTGATCAAAATTTGTTCATAAACAAGCAAACTACAACAGTCTACTTAGTCTCCATAAGAATAAAATGGTCATTTTAAATTTACAGATTTTTGGAATTTTCTCCGTAACCATTAGGAGCATAACAACGCTTTAATATAATAAACTATTGGTTTTTTTAAGCTCTACAAAATGGTATGAAAAGAAATCGCTAAATTTTAAGTTTATAGGGTCAAAAATAGGAAAACCCAATTTTTACCCCATAAATCCCTGTTCCCATATAGTCCGATCATGCTGGTTCGCGAACTCGTTCGAATAGACAGTAGTAGTAGGTACACGTTTGTCCCAATTTTCATCATAATCGGATGATTTTTGCTCGAGTTTTCGCCCTAACGGACACATATATGAATTTGAACGGATGGTGTTTTTGGTCACTTGGTTGAAGTTTGGCATTCCATCCATTTTGTTTATTGGCCCAAGATGAGAGAAAAAACATCTTCTTCCACATCCTCATTCGCTTCTAAGGCTTCCTCAAGGGTAAGAAACTGAGGACCAAGTTTATCTTTGAATATTCTCGGCTTTCCCTACTACAGTTTTCTTCTTTATAGCAAGACAAGGAGTGGTGAGTATGTTGTCAATTAAGTTTTTCTTGGTTGATGCTTGGTTTTTTTATGGTTGAAAGGTTGATGCTCTGGCCATAACTTTTGTGTAGTAGGAACCCACCATCAATAACATACTGCACTTGACCATGGAAGTGCTTGATTTCAATGGGGACAGGGGCTTTAGGCTTTTAAAGATTTGATTTGGTTCTTTGTGCAAAATATTATTAACAAACAACGAGAAAGAGTCTGGACCCATTTCGTAGGACAAGAAGTGTTTTAGTTCTTCATCAGAATTCTTAGCGATGCTGATAGGTTGAAACAATGTGTTGTGGTTTACGGGTAAGAATTCTCTACTTTCATCGCGTTATTTACTATGGCAAGTGGCTGGACACGGTCTACTCGCCTGAATTTGATGTTACCAAAGTTAAAAGTTATCTACAACTCTTCTAATTTATTTCATCCTTTTTTCTCAATCACTATAGCAGTCAACCCTGTGGCCAGCAACATCCCTGTGCTGAGAAAATAAATGGGGGTTTTGTGGGAACGGGAAATGTTCCAGCAGTCAGTCATACATCTTGGCATAGATTTATCAAGTGTGTTTCAGTTCATTATCATGAATAAATAGTTCAAATTATCGTAACATGGGTTGTTTCCATGGAAACCCAATGTAAAACCTTTGCAAAACGGTTAGGGTTTATTATCATTTTTGGTTTTGCCCAGCATGATCGTACTATGGGAACAGGGATTTATGGAGTAAAAATTGGTTTTTCCTATTTTTTACCCTATAATCTTAAAATTTAGCGATTTCTTTTCATACCATTTTGTAGAGCTTAAAAAAACCAATAGTTTAGTATATTAAAGCGTTGTTATGCTCCTAATGGTTACGGAGAAAATTCCAAAAATCTGTAAATTTAAAATGACCATTTTATTCTTATGGAGACTAAGTAGACTGTTGTAGTTTGCTTGTTTATGAACAAATTTTGATCAAATTTGGAAAATGCATTCATTTCATACTAAATTATTACATTTTACAAAAAACACCTTTTTACCCTCCCTGTTGCAGCAAACCTCATTAAACACTCATTAAACTTTTATTTAAATAGGGAATAAATGTGATATTTTAAGGAGACATTTTAGTGTAAATCGAATCAGGGAAATAGAAATTCGCTTAGTCTGCAGGTTTGCTGCGGCGGGGGTATTTTAAGTGTGTTTCAGTTTGTTATCATGAATAAATGGTTAAAATTATCGTAACATGGGTTGTTTCCATGGAAACGTAATTTAACACGGTAGCATTTAGCAATGTTTTTAATTTGTTGTACTTCTGGCCTATTTTAGTGTGCTCTAGTGGCGAAACGGTTCGTCGTAGAAACAAACATTATATAGGAAACTTGTAGTAAATTTTGTCATCTTTAATTTTACAAAGTAGGATTTTCTCAAAAACCCATACTTAACGAGATTTTCCCGAAAAAACAAAAAAAAGTGCCCAAATTTTAAGGTTTTTCACAAAATAACCAATGTTCCGGGCAAAATATCTGTCAGCAAACCTCATATTCGTGTTCAGCGACCCAAAAAACATAAAGAAAAGTGATGATTAGGACTGTACCTAAACTTTCCGCTAACTGTCACTTATATTCCTAATATGCCTAGCCTATATTCTAGGGATAAAATATGAATCAGCTGACTATACCAAACACACCTGCGATGTCTATAGCAGATGTTGAAGATGATGAGGCATATCGCAGCAACAATTCCGATGCTAGAGATTGCCCACATACAGATAAACAGTGGTACCGATATGGTTCTGAGGACCCTCCTGACTATTGTTCTATCCTGGGGAACCTTCCCACCTGCAAAAGTAGCCATATACAACATAGGACATAGTCATAAGCGACAATCATGACAACAATAAAACCATACAATATTTGGGGTTGTGTTCAATTTCTGTGTGTACAAGTACAGTATGTCATTGATTAGAATGATCTATGTTTCTAAGTAAATGCAGCAACAGGTAAGCAAAAAGATAACTTTAATAATTTAAAATCAACAATTTGTTATCACTCTTCTCTTCTGATACATCAGGATTTGACTAATGCAAAGCTTACTGATGACCTAGCTAAGTGGAATTACCAGAAATTTATCTCGGCTGTATTTAGATTTTGCAACATAAGGTATTTGTTAGAGATGTTCAATAGCACAGTAACTGTACTGTGCAGTATAGTATAGTACAGTAGTACTGTAGTGTAAGTACTATACTGATAGTACTTTATTCTACAGTAAACAACAAATAGCTGATGTATGTTTACGGTGAGAGATATTGGTAACTGGTGATTCTGGAAATAGCGAAGACAATTTAGTTGTGTGTTCTGTTTTTCAACAAAGTCACAAGTGCTGCCAAAAGTTGTCAGAGAGAATAAATCTGCTAGTATCCTGTTCATCTTGTTTTAAGTAGAAGAATTTGAAATTGCTACAAAAATTCTCAGTTGCTCCTGAATTTTAGTAATTATGCATTCTATTAAGATTGAAGTTTATAAGTATTCAATTGTTTTTATTACTCTACAAGTCATGTTTTTGACCAAACTAACTTTAAAGCATTACTTCTTGGAACCACCCGCTATTTCCTCATAATTATCACATTATCGATTTGGCATCTACATTTTCAACAAAAAACTAGTAAAATTATTACACCTCAATCTTTCAAAGGTAATATTTAGTGTTCAGCTGGTCGGACTAAACTCACTGACCTTTCCACTTTTCTCGGTTGAACCAGGTGAGATTGTCTGCCTGAGTGTCGTAGTAGCCAAGCTTGACGTAAGTTCCGTTGATCACTTGCTCTATCTGGGTAAGAGCAATTCTGTCACCTTGGGAACTGAAGGCCACGTAACCCTGTAAAAAAATTGAATTATCATTGCTGTAAATGTGTTTTGACTCTACTATCAAAGCCTTCTGATCAGAAGATATGTGCAGGGGGGCTAGCTTTGGATGATTAAAAAAATGTTAATTGCTCTAGTCAAAAGTCAGAAGGAATTGAGAGTACAGTAGCCAAATCTATGCACGTCTCTCGTTTCCATTTATCGTTGTCGTATTCAATCAGTTGTCATCAGGAGTGATCGGCAGATGTATAGAGCGATCATTCAAGATCAGGTGCAACCGGTTGAAGTCAGGTGTGATAGGTAGACTTTGGGAGCAATCGGCAGATGCCGGGAGCCATTGTCAGATAACTTTTAAAATTCTGACATACCTATAAAGAATTCTAACCGAATAGCAGAAGACTTTTTTATCCTGAAAAGTCATAAATATTTAGCTCTAGATCAACTCTAATTCAAACTAACAATTAATTAACCTACTTGATAGCAAACATAGTTGATGGTGGACATCAATAAAATCAACTCCATAAATTAAACCTCTTTGCAATAGCCGTGAAACGATGAATCACACACACACACTACCCCAATATTAAATATGTACATTACGTTGCATAAGGAGAGCAATATTATCAATTACCCAGAAGATGTTGCTACCGATACCACTTTAAAATGCTCAAAGACATAAGAACTAACATCAGGATCAAGGTAACAAAAAAATAAAAACATCAATGATTCAAATCTTGAAATTGGGTCTTACATTACAAATTTATTGAATCTGTTATATACGATATATCAAATAAATACTCACAGATACGCCAAGGAATTGAGTTGAGTTGATGGCAGAATAAATGTCATCAGCAGTCTCTTTATCAGTGTACGTAAAGTTCTTCAGAGTTTTCCCAACTCTGCTCAATCTCTGCATTGTTTTATTAAAAGCTGAAATGTAACAACCTCATGAAACACAAAATCTAAATTAAAATAATTATTCTAAAGAGTTATAATTTTCTAAATGTTTGGTCTATTGAAGGGGTAAATTCCACTAAGCAATTAGATTACTAACCAGGTAACTTAGCCTTAAAACACCCTTAAAAAGCTCATAGAAAAATCTAATCACAGTGGCAGAATGTATGTAAATGTATGTATGTGGAGATTCAAATTTATTTGAGAATATAGAAGGTCTTGATGGTCGAGAAGAGAACTTTTTCTTCTATCAGTGATTGAATAACCACTGGAAAAAAATGCAAGATAATTTGATATGATCATATGATTATTTGATATGATTTGATTCCTGATTTCTGATCATGTAAAGTCACAAATACAAGAAATTCTGAATGTTTTCATTCAGCAATCATCTGTTATGACAATTTTACAATAGGATGACAAGCAGTATTCATGGTCAACGCACAAACTTACCTAACGCTACTGACCACACAGCGTCGTAAGCCAAGGGGGCTTCTTGATATCCCTCTGGATACCTTAGGTTGTCAATATCATATCCTCCCTTCCGCAGAACATCATTCAAGCGCACTCTGAAATCTTCCGAGGTCTGGAACAAATGTTAAATTATGAATAAAAGTAGACGTTCCTGTCCCATATTGTAGCTGTAGAAATTTTTAGAATCTAAATTTACTTAGTTATAGCTTATTCTAAACTATAGCATGTCGAACATCAAGTAAGAAAAATAAGAGCGAATAGAATAGTGGACTGTTGCACATAGCATACTCTATGAGTGGCTAATTCAGCTATGTTATTGTTTAATAAAAACCATCCACAGCTGGTCCATATAGATGAGATGTCTATTTTAGTATCTAAAAGTCAATGGTATCAATCGTCAATGGTAGCCTATAGTCCATTCACAAAATTTAGGTGGTTTAAGGGGAAGGTTTGCAGGGTTTCCACTTTTTTTAGCTTAATATACAGGGTGCGGCAAAAGTCAGTATACCGAAAAAGCAGTTAAACTGTAGCTAGCATTAAACATAACTATAAAAGTATAATTTTAATATACCTGTTAGAGAAGCTGCTCAAAGTGACCACCATCATTGTCTATACACTTGTAGCACCTTTTCAACACTGACTTACAGATTTTGTTGCATAGTTGTGGTGTGAATAAAACATCAAAATGTTTTGTTATTAATTCTTTTAAATGTTCTAAACATTGAGGTTTCTCCGAAAACACATGTTCTTTTAACAAACCCCACATACTGAAATCACACGGAGTTAGGTCTGGGGACCTAGCAGGCCACTCAATAGTTCCTCTACGTCCTATTCATTCATCGAAGTTATCATTTAAAAATGCTCGAACATTTATTCCATAGTGTGGAGGTGCTCCGTCTTGCTGGCAAATAATCGAACGACGACGCAACTGTTCAAAAGTGGGACTGTTTTCCAACTCTAAAAACACATCTAACATCCGTATAATCACGATCGAATTTCCACCAATTTTTAAAAGAAAAACTCGTTGCTCTAAAGTTAGTTTACGATTCATGATTAAAAACACCAATAATAGAAGTTAATAATACAAGCACTACACTCACCAACTTAACTTCACTGTCACTTAGTGGCATACTAACAAAACAAACATTCATCGATAAAGAATAAACAAAGACAAAATCAACCACGACTAGACGTCAGATTAGATAAGGAATAACACTGAGATAATAATAGCGCGAGAGATAAACAATGACGCTCACCGGCCTGCAGCGGTATACTGACTTTTGCCGCACCCGGTATTTACCAGCTTATCAGCTGTCAGCTTTTATTTCCAAGTTAGGATGAGATGCAGAGGATGGAATCGCTTGCCCTCAAACCGCCTAAATTTGTGAACGAAGTATACACTTTGGTGTGGTAACGTTCTGCTGGCGACCTACCATGCCGGATATGGTCCGTTGATTGTTCTGGTTCCACATGAGCGCCTCTGTGGTGATATGACCCTCGGCTGCTCGTCTCATATCCTCCTTGCTACACTCTATATGTTCTTTCTCCATCTGCACCTCGAACCAGTTGTCCTCGTACCAGCCTGTGAATTTAAATATCTCAAAATAAAATGAAGTTTTAATCCGTGGGAAAAGATCTGTATCGCTGGGCATTTGGTGGTTTCTACACATTAACTGTGGTCATCTCATTTTCGAAGCAACAGTAAAAATTATCTCTACTTTGGTCAGAGTACTGATATTTCATTATTGTTCTTTTCAACATGTCTAAATACACCATAAACCCTGTGTCCCATGCTGACCAAACGTCTCAGCATCCCTAAGAAGGGGGTGAATTGTTTTAGTGTAAGTCTCTTGTAGTTAAAAAAAAAAACTTCAACTTAATTATTCTCAAGCTAGTTTTTAGGTCAGAGAACATTTTTAGGACACATACATTGTTTGTCAGTAGTAATTTAAGCTTAGAAGCATCACTACTCAATTACTTCAAAAATTGTGTGGGTAAGCCGAGTGGTTATGGCCGCCTTCAAAAGCCGAGAGGTTATGGCCGCCTTCAAATCTGATCTAAGGTTACCAGACCAGGTTTTGGACTGTTCTCTTACAAACAATACAAGTTGAAAAATTCTACTTGCACAGATAAGACAATTAAGATACAAAAATAAACTACTCTCCAGTACTGAACTAAGAATCTTTGACGAGACTGATAGCATGTAACTATTGAATGGTCAAATAAATTCTTGATTCTTGAATAATCAACTCTTTTGATCCAGGTTTTCCATACAGGCTAAACTATGATGTTTGAGACTATGTTTGTTTTTCTAAAAGTTTGCAAATGAACAGATGACCTAGTTTTTAAGATAGGATTATTAAAAAACAATCACATTATGGGATCAAAATCTTTTTTTTAACAACTAAGCACTATTGTAAAATTAAACATATGCTCACCTATAAAGAACCAGACATAAGATTTGCCGTAGAGCTGTTGCTTGAACATCTCGCATAGAACCCGCCTGGCTGCCACAACGTAGAACAACCCCACGATAATACGAGCGTCTTGTCGTCTCAGGTTGCGGACTGCGTCAGTTGGATCACTCAGAAAACTCTGACGAGTCACAATCTCTATACCACTCTCCTTACAACGGGCTTCCAGGTCCTCCACGGTCTGAAAATATAAACATTGTTAAACTGTTTGGAATTATTTTCCTCTTGGATTGTACATAAAAATGTATTCTAAAAAGAATGTTTCTTACTGCTTGTAAGATTTATGACAGAATATGCTTAAATCCCTTGCATTGCTTGGACGCTTCACGCACATGTGGAAGGGAAAATTCAATTTAAGGTTAAAAGATCTCATTAACCTCTTAAAAATATATATAATATTTTAATGGGGTTGACTTTAAAAAAATGAGGTCTGATTAGGTGTTTCGTTTAGGCAACGTTCAGTTTATTCATATGATTTTGTTTACTTTTTTTTAATAGGGTAGCAACCCAGCAGACGCACAGGCAGCGCTTGCCTATGTCTGCTGGTTTTCTAAAAAATAAATTTGTGTAAAATAAACATTGATTATTTCATTCATTAGCCTAATTCATTAATTCATACTTAAATTATTATCCTAGCCAATTTTAATTTTCACAAATTGTTACAAAAAAGATCAGAAATTTTGACCAGTTCCCCTTAACCATTTTCGGAGTGCCACTGGCGAAGACAGTTAAAAGAAGTTAAAAGAAGACTCACCGAGATGAAGACCTCCTCGGCCTGTTGCAGTATAGCCACTCTGGACCATCCAAACTTCTCCATGAGTTTGATGCGTGTAGGGTTGTGTACAGTGGCCGACGGGTGAGTTCTGAACAGCGTCGGGAACCTGTTACGATCCGACAACGCTGGGGAACTGGCTCCATAGCATAACTGCAACAAACAATGGGTTGGTTAAGGTGTTTTGTACTTGGTGAATATTGTAAATAGGGAATGATCGATATCAAACAGAGACCTTTTGTTCATGAAAAATGTCGTGGTCAGTCAATCGTCACCCAATTAGAATAATTACACACATTACCGGGATATTGAAGTATCAGATACTTTATTTGTTCTTTAGGTGTGTGAAGGAAGAAGTGGAGATTTGGAATCAAAAAGATATAGGGATGATGTACATGTTCAAATTTCTGAACCAACTTCTGGATCCCACTCTCCACTGAACCATCGCTAATCAGAAAAAATTGGTATATAACTCTACTCCTTCAGGACTATGGTAGGTTTCTCAAGCACAGAATTAACTGTGCTTACTCTCTGCTATCTTAAGGGGTGCACACACCGGAGCGGAACAGAAGAGCGGTAGCGGTGCGATATTCGCACGGTTATTTAGTACAATGGAAGTAAATGCCACACAGGATCGGTGCGAGCGGTGCGGTTTACCACCTGTACCACGGTACCGCTGAGATACAGCATGTTCCATTTCACCACCCAGCGGTGACAGAAGAGCCTGTGCGACGAGCCTGGCATTTGGGTTTCTTGTCTTTTCTAAGTTTAGGCATCAATGTATGGTATTCACAATGCTCAAATCTCCTTTTGTTGATGTCATGTACCCACTCCTTATTTTTGCGATCGTTGTCCTCAGCTACAGCAAACAATAGCAAGATTTCTTCCCCATTATCTGATGAAAACAAATTTATAACTAACAACACACCGCACTTGTTGACTGCACAGTCATAAATGAGGACGATAAATTACTGTAGACTGCTGTCACCACTGCGGTGCGGAATCGCTCTGGTGTGAACGCCCCAGCGATACCGCCGCGGCGGTGATGGTGGATGGGGGAAATGAAAAAAACTTGCAGATACTGCCACCGCTCCGGTGTATGCAGACTTTTATGCATAAGGAATGGGCCAAAGCCTCAAAGCGCTTCATCCAGGTTTTTTTTAATTTTATTAGTCACTAATACTTACCACCACAAGATTCCACATCTTTGCGGCCTCTGCGACCGTAGTGCATGTTGTGCTGCAGCCGGCCAGTAACATGAGCTTCTGCGGTTTGTTGTACAACAAGTTGTACATGACTGAGGCCCCCAGGCCTGGGTCACACTGTAAGGAAAAACAGACTTTTCATCATCATGTCAAATGTCTTAAATCAATTACCGTAAGAAGAGCAATGGCAATTAATTGGTAAGATTTGACATTTGAGGTGTTAGGTACATTTAATTGATTAATTAGACCCTATCCTCTATACAACATTGACAGATATATATAGGGTTAAGGGATCCTTTAGTGGTCAATTATACACAAATCCTAGATTTTGACTTGAAATAGAGCATTGGATTACTGGATTGTTTTGGCAAAGGACTTCAGTTTCACAGAAAACCTGTGAGGGTAATTCTGAGCAATTACTTGGTCAACCCCAATTTTTTTATACTTCACTACGTGATCAGGATGTTCTTAGAAAACAAGAAACATATAATTTAAGCCCCGCAAGGCCATCGTACAGGTTGCAGAGCGATAAGAACTTTCAAATTTCAAGCGATAACAGTGGCTTGCGGGAGATGCGCAGAAGGCCAGTTATGACAGTACCGTTATGGCTATGGCTAGTGGTTCCTCCGATAATCCTTTTCTATGTGACGGGTGTGATAACACGTTACTTAATTTCACGGTTCTAAGTGAAGATCAGGAAAAGTTGGAATAGAATTGAGTCTACACCATTTTTTTCGGGCTATCCGTGAAGTTTACAACGGGGAACCATCACAACAGAACACTGATCCAGTTGCCGCAGACTGGGATGAGGACGTTGAACCCGGCGATTACTGACGTAATTTTTATTTTTATATAACATATATTAACTTTCCGGGGCTGAATTATGTTTTTTTAGTTTCACATACATCTCTAAGGCCAGTTGCCACAGTAACGTTATGTTTGGTTAGGTTAATTCACAACCTAACGTAATCTAACCTAACCTAACTTAACCTTGCGGGGCAGAACATCCTGATAACCATAGTAAAGTATTGAAAAAAATTGGGGTCGACCAAGTAATTGCTCAGAATTACCCCTGTGAGATATTATCGGTTTTAGCTTTTAACTTACCTAAATATTGATATTATCAAATGATTTTGATTCGGTTGAATATGATCGATGGCTTTTAAAGAACCTAGGGCCTATTATATTTTTTTATCAAATTGAGGTAAACTTATGATTTTTTTATATATTAATAGACTAAGTTAGCCTAAGTACCTACCTAAGTTATTTTTAAAACAAAAAATATATAAATTATTTTATAATTAATGTTAACAAAACAAACAATGAATTAAGTTTACCATAATATAGTAAGTAACAAATATTAGGCCTACTATAGTTTCTTCAATTTTTAGTCGTACACAGTTTAATAACTTACCAAGGATAAAATAAACCAACTAGCCTAGCCTACTTTATTGATGTTTTTGTTATTCTTTTTAACTTATTCATGGTAAAATTAAATTTAATGCGGTATTAATATCGAACCGAATCAAAACTGAAAATATTGATAACTTGTTAAATCCGGTAAGTATATCGCAGGTTCTCTGCGGAAATATACCCGGATGAAAGCCATTGCCTGTGAAGTTGAAATCCATTACTGTATGTCAATTATAATGATACTTAAATAACAAAGATTTAATTACTAATTTGGATGCATATAGAGCTGTCTTATACATTATTGAGTTAAGCTTAGGCCCATATTTTATTCTCAAAAGGGTGGTGGAGTGGAGTCACCAGACGGATATGGTTTCTCCAACAATGTCGGCCTTAGTCACTAACAAGACTACAAGATCGCGCCACTCATCTCCATTCATACTTGGCTTAAAATACCTACATTGTATGGTCGCCATTTCATAAGAAAGTATAAAGTATAACAATTACAAAAATGTTATAACTAACTTTATAATTAAGGTGATTTGGAATCTATATATTAATTTGAAACTGTTTTTCTTTGTAACAGCTATTTTGAGAGAACGGCTGGGCGTAGAAACTCGGTAGAGGTGTCTAAAGAAAGGTCCTGGTCTGTAGATGAGCCATCAAAAGAGAAACATGAAGAATTCCCTCGGGGCTCTGCCCCAGTGGCCTTTAAATTCCCATCCCATGTTATTCTTATGGAGGAAAACGAGGTTTTTGTCACAGCTAATTTGAGAACACGGCTGGGCGTAGAAACTTGGTAGGGGTGTCTAAAGAAAGGTATTAGTCTGTAGGTGAGCCCTCAAAAGAGAAACGATGTAAATTTCCTTGGGGCTCTGCCCCAGAGGCCTTTAAAGTTCACTCTGCAATTTTGTTTACATTTCAACCATATGGATAATTTTACACTACTTTTAATGAACCAGCTGTTAATATTAAAATTGTATTCAAAGGTCTACTGAAACTGTCAAAATTAAATGTTTACATTACTATTTATGATTTTAAATGGATTCTCCACTGCATGGCAAGTTTTTTATAGTTTCAACAAAATGATGAATTTATGATACGTTTGAAATGTTTTGTTCAAAAATCTATGCTTTATTGCTCTTAGAAAATTTTAAATTATGAAATAAGTGTGACTTATCCATATTGTGTGTATAGTATGCATAAGTGTGTGTAGCTTATACATATTGTAAGGTTGGCACTTCCCTTTTTTCCTACTTTCAATCACCATTTATTTTTAAATTCAAGAAAGAACACCTGAGATTCATTTATTGGTATAACAGTTTTTGATAATCGGGTTGAAAATTGTGTCATAGATGAGTACGTTGAGGATGAGAGCTGTGTTCAAGTTTTGGAATAGACTAACTACGGAGTCTATGGTTTTGGTAAAGTAGGTGAACTAATGTCAATTCAGGTATTTAAAAAAAATGTGTACACAGTTTTTGCTTTGATGTACACATGTAGCTAGGTTGAACAACGCATCTTAACCTCACTACATACAAAACATTCGGAAACACAACAGTGTCATCACATCTCATCGCATTTGCATAATTTGTTACCAATGCTGGACTAGGTTATGGATTTGGTTCCGCAAATGTTCAAGATTTGTGATAAAATTTCCTACAATTATGGTTCATTCCAATCCACGAAATACATGCACAGCTTTATGTGATCTATATGGCCAAGGCAAAACTACCCCATAAGTTAATGAATTATCAAGTAAGAACAGGATGATTACATACATGGGTCGATGTGGCAAGAGAAGGATTTAAAATTGCTGAGATCGAAGTAAGAATGTTACTGCTTTCTGGAGAATCAGATATTTTTATAAAAAAAAGATGAAGATTTACATCTTTTAAGATAAATCCGGATACAACCTGAATGATTTTCCAAAAGCAGATGGAATTAGTGGTTAGTAATAAATATTGACTCTTTCCGTAACATGATAGACTAATTATATGAACTCATTCTCCCATATAGTGAAAGTGGCTTTGGTATGAAACAAACTCATGAACAAACAATTATAAGACTCCTAAAAAACCTTTTGGGCAACCTAAAGCCGATAAAAAGAAAGGTAGGAAATATTGTGTTAAACAAATTCATTAATCACGTTTTTTAGGGAACACAATCGTCATAGGCCTACTTATTATTGCTTATCCTCCCTTCATATAACTAAGATTTTAATGACTTCACTCTATCCAACGCAGTTAGCTGAATTTACATAAAACCTCAAGATTAACCGTCGATTTCGACGGGGTTCCACTAGTACTATATTAACTTAGTTTAGCCGATTTCCTCACCTCACTATCATTCCAGTGCAGCTTGAGCTTGTATCCTGGCAGTAAATCTTTAGCCTTGTTGACATCTTCTAAAGCTAGATTTGCTGCTGGTTCACAAGCCTGAGAGATCAAATATATTTAAGCACTTCTTCTACAAATACCTATTTATAGATTCAACTTCTTAAACTACAGTTCTTGGTCTACAGAAATTCAATATCAATACATCAGCTACGAATTAGGTCCCAAAGAAAAAGTGGAAAAATCATTAGGTAGATTAACTATAGGCCTAGTTTATTGTTTGTGAGCGTTTTTGAGAACAATCAACTTACGGTAATTACAATTCGATACCAGAATTTCGGAATACAGTATATTTAAGAGAAATTAAACTAAATTTCAGTCACAAAATTATTGAAATTAAATTGTTTTGAATTTGTTGAGTTTGTGTTGTGATTGTTATGAAGAAAAGGAATCAGAATCGATAAGGATAGAGATGATCTTTCGGGTCTGATTTAGGGGAGGTATGAATGAGGCATCGATGACATCATAGTTTAGTTCAAAATTCCTCCGTAAACAGCGCTGTAGTTCTGTTTATAAAATAAAATTATAAATGCCTCAAGTTCAATTTTATAATTTTTTAACCCTCCATGTGTCCATAGTATAGGCCTTAATGTTTGCCTATTTATTGCGAATTTGCAAGGTTTTATTAAAACGGATCTGAGAAGCTTAAAAACACTGTTTATTATACTGTTTTATAGCCCTCCGAGTGTCCATAGTTTAGGCCTTAATGTCCACCTATTTTTGGCGCATTTGCAAGGTTTTATTAAAACGGATCTGAGAAGCTTAAAACAATGTTAATTCTAATGTTCTATATACCATTTTGTTTGGAAAATCATGGGCTTCAATATCATACATAAAACATATGGAATATTTGTTTCAAAAAAATTTTTTAGGTAAAAAAAAATTATTTTGGAAAAATTGAAAAAAAAAAATAAGTTTGCGCTCAATGAAATTGTATAAATTATAGGCCTATAAATATTTGAAAATAGCCACTTTGTTCTAAATTTAATGAGGATTACAAATATATAATCATATAGTGAGGTAAGTTATCAAATAAATAAGTTATGAGTGAAAAACATGTTTTGAGCGTTTGAAAGAAAATACCGAAATCGCCCAATGACTCAACACCTTTCATAAAAACACATATACCAACCAGAGTATTTCATGTTGTATGAAATTTTATTTACAGTTAGTACAAAATCAGCCTACTAGTAAATGAGAAAAATACAGCATGGTTTTACCTTGATTATGGGGCCAGAATCCTGTGCCGAACTTGAAGAATTCGAAGAACTTGAAGAAGTTTGCTGAACTTGATAAATTACAAAGTATCCAAAATATATTTACATAAAGTCACAAAAGTCAGACAAAAAACTTGCAAAGTTGTTGCTGTCAATAGTTTTCAACACTAGTAAATAAAAAATAACACTTATGAAAAGAAATATTATGTACAGAAGAATTAACACATGGGCCTAATCAGAGTCCTCTCCGCTACTTTGGTCTAGGGTCACTCTGGCCCTTTTTCTGCCACTGTTATGCCTCCAAAAGTGCTGCATTTTGTGGAAGCACTCTTTGTGAACACCCACATTACATCCGGGGCACCAATATGAAGACCTGCCTCTGCCTCTGGTTTTGGTGTGACCACAAACGATACACAATCTTAGTTTTCCTTGATGCAGTTTTTCTAGTCGGTGGTCACCGCAATCCCCCTGGGGTCCAGGAACTGGTCCAGGTAAGGCATCGCAGGTTGCTTCGCCTACGAGGGATTCTACAATAGATATGTGGAAATCTCTTCTTGATACAGGTTTGTCAGTGTTCTCTTTGTATAGAATGTAAGCATTTACGAGCGCAATATCAATAAAATTGAAGAACAGCTTCTTCCAGTACTTGGAAGTGGTGCGGTTGCAAAACATATGGTACACAGATTTATCGTTTACATCTACACCACCCATAAACTGGTTGTAATGGTGAATCAAAACCGGTTTCATGCCTCTCAGTCCCTTTTTACTTGTAACAATTTGATCTTCTGCATGGTATGCTGTTGATATCAAATACACTATTTTCCTACTCAGTTTCTGACGGTAACCAACCAATAACAGATTTCCCTTTCTAAAGTATACTGTTTCCCTTTCTCCTAAGTTGTAATTTTTAATTCCTTTTGATAAAAATTTTGACTTTTTGTTTATGGTTCCGGTGATGAATGTTTGTCGTTCAAGAAGGTTTTCGGCCAATGGAATTTGTGTATAAAAATTGTCTGTCACAAATACATGATATCCTTTGTCAAACAATGAAGATTTTTCAATCAAGTTCTTTACTACCCTCTCAGTAAATAATTCTTTATCAAGATTAGCTTCAGCAAGGTAATCAGTTCCACATAGTTCTATGTGCATAACATAATTGGTTGCACTATCGCAAAGTTCGAACTTTTTAATTCTGTATTGTTTGTGTTTCTTATTCGGCATAGGCCTATATTGAATGAATATGCATTGGTTCTTTGTTCCTACTACACTTTCGTTGATGGAGAGTTCCTGTTTTGGTACAAAGTGTTTTTTGAAACATGAATTCAGATGATCTAACAACCACCTTACTTTTATCCAATGGTCATGTCCAGGCTGACCCCTCACAACAGCGCGGGCCGATGTCAAACGCAAGAAGCTGCTTATGAGTAAAAACCTATTTATCGCCATGGTGTTTGAATAAAATGCTATATGTTCTGTTTTTCTAGTGTCCCAATATGATTTGATGTTTTTCCTAACAGTCATTCCCATATTGATTAGAATGGCAAAAAACTTTTTCATTTCCTGAATGGAAACATTGGACCATTTTTTGAACCTAGATTGTGGACTCAAATGATCTCTATTTTCATCTACTGTTTGAGCATAGGCATTTGTCTCTTTAGTAATGATATTCCAAAAGGCAGCTGTCAAAAATAGGTTCAAATAATTGATAGGGGAAGAATTTCTGGGAGGTAAATCTTTGGGTCCTGTAGCCCTAACTTGAAACTGAGGTCTGACATCTTTCGGAGGTTCGGGGGGATATACCCTAATCCAAGGTTCTATGTTTTGCTGTACCGGTATTAGCCTAGGCCTACCTGCATTAGGGTCTTGTTGTTCATTTTCTGTTTCAAGATTTTCGTCAGTATCTGACGTCTCTAAAAAGTTAAAATCGGGCACAATATACTCCTCTTCACCACTCCCTGACGAAAAGTCTAGCAAAGATAGCTCAGAATCTGAAGGATAATTCACATCAATGTCACTGCCTACTTCTTCCGGATCATCAACATCAACCAGTCCTTCAACATCACTTTCACTTATAGGCCTATCTTCTTTTAGTGCATTACGTATATCACTACTGTCCATTTTTACGTGATTTGATTTTTACTTTTACCACTAAAAACGACGATAAACGTACAAAAACACACCAAGTCACCGATGTAAATAAACAAAGTTGTTTTTTTTTTCCTCTAGTTTGCTTAGCAGGCTTCGGTTTAATAGGCAGCCTCGATGTACACTGAGTTGTGGTTGCTTCCAATTATTCATCCTGCAATTAAGGTTATTTGTTAGTTTACAAATTGTTATTGGACATGAATGTGCACAATCAATGATTTATGTTGATATTTTGTCATTGTTTTTGTTAATGTGCCTAATTATGTTTTTAAAGATAGGATGATCTAAAGGTTCAAGGGATTCTTAAGGATGGCAGAAATAGGTTATCTTCTTTGCCATTGGCCCATCAGGCATACCTAACTACCCAGAAGCAGAAGAGGGGAACAGGGCCACGGATTAAGAAACCCAAGAGTGGACAACATAAATGTGATTCTAACTGTGTTTGTGTTTCATTGTTCTTTTAAATTGCTTTTCCTATTTCCTTCAAATAATTGTTTATTTCCTTGTAAATGCGATTATTTCCAGATTTTAGGGCTTCTTGTAGGTTGTTGCCATTCTTTCTAAATGTTTCTTAAAGGAGTGTTTTTCTGAAATAATTATAATTTGGGCAGCCCCAAAGAGATGCTGCAATGAAATTATTCATCTTCTCCTTTAGCGAGTGCATTTCAAGCAAGTGGGGTAAAGCCACGGCCGCCTTTAACTACAGGCCGCGGCCTGGTAGAATTGGCAACATCGCAAGTGGTGTTGTTCAGTGACGGACGTCCCATAAGATAACATGGCAGACAGGTGACATCAGCTCATCAATTCGCACTTCATTGATTTAAATTTAAATTTATGAACATAAATTTATTAAAATATTTAAAATAAAACATACAGATTTGAAAACCGAAACAAATATGAATTAAAATCTATATCTGTACATTTTTACGCGGAGTCAATATTGTCATAGTTCAGTAACCAAGCTTTCGTAAATACACTAAATACCATTAGCATTAGCTGCTTCCAAACAAAACAGCTGTTACAACACCACTTTGCAACGTTGCCAGTTCGAAGACCCCACGTCAACCACAAATGGTGGGACCAAGTGGAAAAGGAGTCTGGGAAGTGGAAGGAAGAGGCAAGAGATGAAATTGAGGCGTTGTGTTGAGGAGGCCAAGTAACACTTGGAGTACCACAGCAATATGTTTTAAAATTGTAAAAACTTTTAAAAAATGTATTGACATATTGTATATACAAATTGTTGATACAAAAATGTGTAAAATCGACAAATGTGTACCTAAATTTAAAAAATTTTCCGGATCCCCCCTCTTTTATGGGGGGTTTTCGTATTTTACTGGGGTGTCTGGGGGCTACGAAATAGCCCCTAGACACCCCAGCACCCGGAAAAGACAAATGGACACCCATAATGGATAGTGCATATTTATGAAGAGGATACACATTTTGTGTCGCTAAAGTAAACCCCCTCACAACAACTATTCTTGTTGTTCTGAAAGTTTTCTATAACTTTGGTTTTCTGGGCGGTAGATGAACAAGCTCCTAAATATTATCCTAATCGATGTTGAGATGTTCTTCGTAAAACCTTGACATGTCTTAGTCACACATTAGACAGCGAGAATGATCGACACAAGTTTGTGAGTTGCCAGTTATCACAAAACAAGGTCGCAGCATAGTAGTGATAACGCTAATAATTGGTGTAGTACACCGTTAGGCTACAAACCCTTATCACAACTAGGGCTGACTTTGATGGTTGGATTTGATACTGTAGTTAGTTCCAAGCGAACTATTTCAATCTGTTCACTTAACATTAATTACTTTTAATAACTTTCAAAGACATCGACGTAATTTGTGTACGTATTTTACCCTAAATATGAAAGCAGGAAGGAAATGCAATGGCTAGTCTGTTACTGTCTAAGATGTTTCTTTGGCTTTGGTTTTCATTCGGAAACTGGGTCCAACTATTGGTTGAACATTCGTCCTCCTTATCATCTTTAGGCGCCGTTTTTTTAACGACTTATTTCTTGTTGTTTACGACTTATTTCTTGTTGCTTACCCAGTGTTAGCAATTGGTGAAAAAATGTCAACCAACTAAAACTAAACAACTACTGCAAAGTAAACAGCCAAACAACTTTTTACTGTACAAACTAAATAACCACTAACTAAACAACAACAAACTAAAATTATGTCAACCAAATAATCGAAAATAATGTCTAATTATAAACTATTGCTTTACGTACGGTATTGTAACCAGGAAGTTAAGCAGATATTGTAAAAACAGCCCTAAAAAGGAACGTGGTCGAAATTAGCACGCCAAACACGCGTACTGTAAACAAATCTTCGCATTTTGCAATAGGATAATTCAACTTGCATTATTTAAAGTCAATGTGACGTTAAAATAGGAATTGAGTGACTAGCTATATCCATGATTAAAGATTAAATAACTAATTTTAGATGCTGAATAAATTAAAATCAAAGGAGTAGGTCTGTCACCTGTGCAGTTTGTCTACAGTAAAATGGGTATTTTACCTATCATCTGATACCTACATGAGAAATTGAACAACGTTCACTTACAATAAATAAATATAAATGTAATAAAATGATAAATGTAAATAAATGTTATAAATGTACCGGTATGTATTAGGGAGGGGTAAATATGAATATATATTATTCAAGGGGCGTCTTAGATTCTCGACACACAACACATTTGAGTTTTGGGCCGCTTTCCATAAAAGTGTTATTTTAGTACACACTGTACATTTTTTTCTCGCATAAAAATGTCTCGCCGTCGAAAATAAGGGGAAATCTAACAATGTAGCTATCAACAATGTAATAGAGATTTAATAGTCATTGGTTATTTTAACAAATGGTTCTGGGTAAAAATCAGCTGATTACTCAGTAACAGAAACTGTCATTTTACAATCATTACTCATATCTTCTCATTAGAACACTGAGTGTCGGCGTCACAACTAATCTGTCACTTACCATTTATCTTGGTTCCCTCCTTGTTTTTCGATTTCCTGGGATAGATGATTCCTATCTGACTCTGGCCGCAGCCCATGGTCCTAGGGTCGCCCCATTAGCTCACACTATCACATCACACTACTGTCACTACACTCACAGCTCAACTCAACTCTGCTAACACTATTGACCTCACACAACGCGCTGAACGCTGAAACGCTGATCCACTGTAACACTTGTTGAGCTCCTCAGCGCCCGGACTGACTCCCGCCTCCCACTGTAGGGTTGCCAACCCACACTCTCCCGTCAGCAAATTTCCCTACCGCCCCCTAATTGCCCCATTGTGGTCCTATGTCAATTTTCCACCGCGATGCCTCCAGTGATGTCAATGGGGTTATTTTTGCGTGCTTTTGAAGTGCTTTGACCGGTGAAGTGTGTGATGGAGGTGTAGAGGTGTATCGCCGTAGGAAAACGTTGGCATTGACGAAATTAATTACTTGAAAGCATGTTGTATTTATAAACTCAAATTTTATTTATAGAATGGCTCCGTTGATGGCACAAATAAACTACTGTATGCAAATATTTTTCAACACTTTCCCGATTTTTGCCCAAACGCCTCAGACGTCAATTTTCCACCAGGATGTCTTTAAAATGGAAATGGGTGTCTAGTTTTATATCCATAAATTAAAATATTACCAACCCTCTATAGCCTGGGTAGGTTGATTTTTATTCCCGATTAAAAAGTCCTTTGCGTATTAGAAGTCATGTCTCCATTTCAATCGGTAATATCCACGAATATTAGGGCAGAAATGGTATGGATCATAATTCATAAACATAAACAAATGACGTCACTCGTAAGATAATGAACATGTAATACAAAGATTTAAATTGAACCATCAAAACCAACCGTTACGGTGATTAGTATATAATGTCAATGTCAATATCATTGACTATTGGATACTGAAATAGTCAAAGATAATATACTCGAGGTATTTAAAAAAATTGTATATGGTCCATACCGTTTATGCTTTTACATCCGTGTGTATTGGTATTAATAATAGGTTGCGCAAAGACTTATAAAGGAACTTTTAAAAGTTACAATAAAAATAATAAAAGACCATAAAAACCCTTATTTAATGTTACAATAGTCTGTATGATTACATTAAGTTTTGCTAGAGTCCCCCAATCAGTTACAACTAAAACGCCCATGATGCATTGCCCAGTTCTGTCGTAGTACACATTTTGAAATCTCGTGTTAAAATGGTAACCAAAACGGAAACGAGGTTTACACAGCTGCATGTAGCAAGTAGGCCACCGGCCACAGGCTGTTGCTATTGGCTCAGCTCCCAGCTCCCAGCTCACACTCACTGATATGAAGGAAAACTTGGTTGGACATCGACGACGTCGTACTGGACAGTGCGTTTATATTTGATAATGTGATGTGGGATGAACAAGAATCATCTTGGTTATGCAAAATGTACTGATAATTAATTATTGTACATTTTGCATAACCAAGGTGATTGTGGTATCGGATGTACGAGAATCATCGTCATGTAGCCTACAATTAGTATTTTGAATTCCTCTTGTTTATGCTGGTTATCGTTTGATATAAGTGGGTGGCGATGTTGGAATCTATTATTGGATGCACGCAAATCAAACATCATGTCATGATTCAGGTTAGAGAAAATTATGGTGTGATTCATAAACCCTTGTGTATGCTGGTTGTATTGTGATGTTGGATACAGTGGCGGTTCCATTGGTGGCTAAAGGGGCTAGAGCCCCCCTCATTGGACCCTCTCGTAAATGTAAACATAAATTTTGTTATACAAACGTAATGGAGGTTTTTATACACAGTTCTAGACCTAGACCTTAAAAATGAATTTCAAAAGTCTCTAAATACTAAAAAGAACCAATTTTTCTTGGGGAGTACTCCTGAACCCTCCTCCTGGTGTGGAACACTGGTAGCTCCCCCACCCTTGACAAGGACTGGTTGGATACATAAGATCGTGTGGTAATGCAAATTTAAAATAATTATACTGTAGCACAATTCCTTGTGATTTATGGTTATTTTTAGTCCAGTCAAACGAAGACAAATCACCCTTAAACCTGGGCAAAATTACTTCACAAGCGATTCAAGTGGTATATTCAACCCAGAAAATGTTGGTTTTTATAAAAATCCAAAATCCAACCATGGGAAATTATTAAAAAATAAAATTCAAAATGGTGGCTGAATTTCAAATTTTTGTGATATTTGTTTTAAGATTTTTGGCGGTATTGGGATAACGGAAAGCACAAATACATAAATTATATATCAGATTAGGTGTTGGAATATCAAATAAATACAAGAATAGACTTTGTTAAAATGACAAGGACATATTTACTGTGATGCCAAACCAGATGTACTGAGCAAATATTTCCATGCTGTGATACCACAATTGGTAATTTTACATAGTGATGGGCTAACCGAATGGTTTCCATGACCGAATAATTAATCAGTTATTTTTTGCGTCAATCGGTTATTTTTAGTTGAATGAATCACCGAATCAATTTTAGTCATTATTCACTATCACAAACCACAACTAATTTTTATCCTATGGGAAACTGAATGGCATTTAGTCTTTTAGCGTCAATCGGTGATTTTTAGTCGAACGAATCGCCGAATAAATTTTAGTTACCTGAAATGTGACAAACTAAATCAACTAAATAACTAAATCACCGAATCGCACGGTAAGACTAATTTAACCGAACCAGGATAAAGTAACCGAATTAGTCTATTCAGCATCAATAACCGATTGATTCGGTTATTTTCATTCGGTGATTCCCACCACTAATTTTACATAATTTCAAATTTTAATAAAAATCGTGTTGAAGAGAGGATATGAAAATACATTCTTTCAGAGGCGGTGCTGACGACTCGGGAGGGCCCAAGCGAAGACTTATGAAAATCTTATGTAAAAGTCTTTATTGTAACTGTAAATGAATCATAGGGTTTTTAACAGTCTTAAAAAATTACAACGGAATACAAAATCATGAATACAACAGAGTTGTTTACCAAAAGACTTTGAACTGTAAATCGGATCTACTTATATCTTATTGGTCGCTGACTTTGACTTAAAGTATGTCTCGTTATTGTGGGACTCTGAGGAAGGAGTTCTCAAGAACACAGACATTTCTCCTCAATTTAAAACTTTTCTTTTATTATTTCCTTGTCCTCTTACACAGCTTTATAACTTACGTAAAAACTATTGCTGGTGATTGATTGAATTTTAACCCATGACCTCCAGTGCAGAGGTTCTCCACTATAACCCTAAGAACCAGTCAACCCCTGGAACTAGAGCTGTATAAAATATTTTCCCCTCGTTTTTCGTTTATCTTCAGATTGGCCAGAATCCAGGATGGCTTTGAGAAACAGTGATACTAAATGAATTTCATCTAGAATACATTTTGCTGAAAAGTTATTGAGGACAAAGTTAGACAGAAATACAACCAAGTTTGAGAGAAAATTAAATGTACCGAAAGTAAATAGATAGCGGGAGAAGTCGGTTTAGTGTATGTAAAGTCACCAGACCAACATTATCCAAGAAGCGTACTTTTGGAAGGCAGCCATCTCAGATGCTTGTTCTTGTATTTGTGTCTGTTTTTACACGGTTAAATTACAAGTAAAATTACAACAACAAATATTTACACGTTGTAATTTTTCAAAGAAAGTGTTCCTATGGGCAAGTGAAATAAATTATGGAAATTTGAAAATTAATCTATTTTTTAAAGTTATTGGGAAAATGTGCCTCTAAAATTTTGTTTCAAGTATTATTTTTATTTCTCCTAAAATATACAGCCATTCATAAAACTTAATTTGTAGATGAACTAAGTTTAAAGGTGCTATATAATGGATTCATTTTCATATTTTTTTGTTTGTTTTGTATTAGCGAATTTCCCTATAGGGAAGTAGCTATTACCGTAGCTCTCATGGTAAGACCTAGGCCCGGGACCGATTTACTTTTATTTTTGATGTGCCCAGAGGCCAGAAACACCATTCGTTCAAATTTTTAATATTTTTATATTATTCTTTCAGATATATATATATATGTGTCCATCCGCATGATAACTTGAGTAATTTTTGTCCGATTTTGGTAAAATTTGGTTTGAAGGTGTAAGGCGGGATAAACTTGAATGAGTTCGCAAACCAGCATGATCGGACTACGTTAACGGGGGTTTATGTGGGGTTTTATGGGGTAAAACTAGGTTTTTCCCATTTTTGACCCTAAAAACGCATAATTTCACAATTTCTTTCTAAACCATTTTGTAGAGCTCAAAAAAACAAATAATTTAGTATATTGAAGCGTTATTATGTGCCTAATTGTTACGGAGAAAATTATAAAAAAAATGTTAATTTTAAATTCTTATGTTATTCTTATGGAGAATAAGTCAACTGTTGTAGTTTGCTCGTTTATGAACATATTTTGATCAAATTTGGAAAACACATTAATTTCTTACTAAACTACAGTACCTTTTAACATTTTACATTTAAAAAAAACTTTTTTACCCTCCCTGTTGCAGCAAACCTAAGTACTCATTAAACTAATTCTGTTTAAATAGGGAATAAATGTGATATTTTTAAGTTGACATTTTAGTGTAAATCCAATCAGGCAAATAGAAATTTGCTAAGTCTGCAGGTTTGCTGCGGCGGGGGTATTTTTGTAATTTACGGTGTACTGTTTGTAATTATAATTTTATGTTTGTAGCATGATTGACCACTACTATTGCTGTATTCTGAGCAAATCAAAAACCATAATAGCTCTTATTCAGATCTGAATTATGTTCATGACAAATCCAAATGTATTTACTGATGGGGGTGAATACATCTTTCAGTTTACAGTAATATTTTGGGTATATATTGAAGGATGAAGTACAGTACTACTTACCAACAATATTACTTGACTTGTGCCTGGAGTTAACTTGGCTGAAATTTCTTTTAGTTGAATTGTTTAACCTTTATTCCCAGTTATAATAAACTAGTAGGAACATGTTAATCGTAAAGCGAGTTCACAGGTGTACTCAATAGCACCAATTCTCGCCTAACAAACATATTTGGCTCAAGATAAAAATGACAAAGGATAGAGTGAAAACTCAGCAAGCATGAGTGAAAAGTGTTAACAAACTGCCCCATATACTTGCGAACAAATTATAATAAGCAATGTTTCTTAAAATTTGAAAACACTTTTTTATTAGTTTTGTGCTTCCAAATTTTGCACCCAGGGAATATGACCTTAACCACAAAAAGGGAATTGCACAAAAAAAAATGAAATATGTAGACCTAAATTAGGCCTATGGAGTATGAAAAATACAAGTCTCGGTAAAATATCTTTTATTCCCAATGAATTATTTACAAATATTATTTAAATAAACAGGTATTTATAACAAGTACAAAAAAATCTAGAATATCAACTATTGGCAACATATCTTCTACATAAGAATAACACTACTCAATCAATCTACATACAAAAACAAGTATACTACAAAATTGGCACAAATAATATAACATCCTACAAACAAACTAATATATTTTTTGATCGAATATATTTAGGAAAAAAATATAGTAAACAATTGATTGTTTTGAGTAGTCTAATTTATTTGTTAAAAGTACTCTTTTGACAAAATCACAATAATTTTTAAAAATTTTTTTCTTGTAAACTTTTATCTATTTATTTATACTATACACGTTAGAATTTCAATGAATAGTTTAAACTTAACCTTAGTGTTTTTAACAATCAGAGGCTTTTTAACATTTTTTGTATTACAATTCCAGCAAATAAAAACTATTACTGTAATCACAGTTGCATCTTGTACAGTACAAACAATACTTTAAAAATCTATTCCACAACAGTTCATAAATAATTTTTAACTCTAAAAAATTCCCTAAACAATCTACTCCATAAGGCTACGGATTTAAACAACCACAACTGAATGTTGAAACTTCAACAGATCATGTTTCAACATCAATTTTGTTGGAGTCAATTCTGTATCTTCAGTCGAGGGAAAAATTCGAGGTGAAAATTCGAGACGTAGAACTTAGAGCACAGCATCTCCACCCTCCCCCTCCTGATGACAAAAAAAAACGTCAATCACGACAAAAATCAACCAATTTCGCTTCGCAAAACTAAAAAATCTCTAAAAGTCCTCCATACATACCAATTTTTTTGACGGACAATTTTTAGATCTTTCTAGTGACATTTTTTGCTTGAAATTTACGACAGAAGGTAACCAATATCGATCAATAATTACAAACAAGTTCGGTAATTTTGTTCTCTACAGGAATTGTATGAACGGAGGAAAAATACAAGATTACTAAATCTCGTTACAACAATATACGACCCCGTCATTTTTTTCCATTTTTTCAACAAGATACAGAATTGAGACAACAAAACAACCGAGAAAAGAACACTACATCGATGACACCCAGAGCACATTGTTATAACGAGATTTAAATTCTTAAACTAGAACAAATTTCCATGCACCACTCACTATAACACAAATCGTTGATTATATTTTATTTGTAACCTAGCCTGGGTCAAAGAGGAAAACAAGTCTGTCTTTAAGGAAGAAACCAACTTGCTCTTGGTTCGAATCGGAATGTGTTTAAACAGTTTTAAAAGTTTATAGTTTGAAATATTTGTAAAACCACCACTGCTGTGAGTCAATAGCCTAGAAAACATGTAAATAAGGATAGAAAATATTTAACATTTCAAATACATATTGAATGGTAAATTATGTATTTTATTAATACAAATCAAGAATAAAATATCGAACCAGTTTAAAATGTCTTATGTGGGTTAATGTTAGTAGAGTTAATAGTTTTGTGCATTATTACCTTAAAAGTTTAGCTGTACAACGTGAGTGCTATGATATTTTGTGATAAAATACTATAGAAATATAAAGTTTTATATCTATTGAAATTAATTCTGTAGTTCTCTATTAAAATATTCTGTATGATATGTAATTACCCAATTGACAAAATTATTGAATTTAAAAACCTGGTTTCTATTAAATACATGTTATACCCCCAAGTTGAAAAAATCTATATTTCACCATTACTTTAATAATCACACTCAAATGAAAAATAATTTAACAATCCATAATTTTGAATATGTTTACGCTTCGATTAAATATATATTATTACAAAATCCATCAACGATTACTAAAGTAAAATGGAGTCAGCTTAAAGCAGAGATTAATTGTACCAAAAATAGTGTAGAAACAATTAAGAGATTGTAAATTTACAATTATATTTATGAAAAGTTTGAGCAGCATATACTTGTGCACGTTAGTAATCGAGTGCAAGAACCATTATTTACAATAAGGAATTTAACAACATTTATATTTAGTTTGGGAGAGTTAAGATATTTTGACAGTTTGTTGAAACTTGTGTAGTTTAAGATAATAAATTTGGTTTATTAGAATAAGTGAGGCATGAGATCAACACCATTTTCACATTCAAACACATTTTTTTATAAATGTAACAAATTACAAAGAAGCACCATTGTATCTGTGAAATCATGTTGAGAAAAGGAAGCTTGAATTCAATGTAGAGGAAAGTCACTTATTAAAAATGTAGGAATAAATTGTAGCCACAGAGAAGTACGGTACAGAGGATACAAGATTATGGGACAACCATACACTTTTAGTACTGGTATGTTGAGGCGGAAATGTAATTGTGACAAGCAAGGAAGAACCTGAATGGCGAGCACTTTGCGGAAATTCCTATCGCACACGGCTCAGGGTCTTCTCCGCCATGAGCGTTGTAGTACAAGAAGGCGAGGGGGTTGTGCGGGACTTTGTCCTAGACACCAGCACTAGTGCTAGACACCACTTATGTGTACCATGCAGTGTATCCTCTGTTCCTTACTTCTCTGTTGTAGCATTGTTTTATTAAGTACACTTCTGATTACAGGGAAAATCCGATTCACCAGACTTAACCTAGATTGATACGAACGGAAGATAAAAAATTTGAAAATCATCAGTACAATAGTCTTGACTATTCGGTTATTGACGTCAATGTTTTTTATCTAGCGTTCTTTGCAGACTATCGAGTACCTAGAAAGGTGCTATTTCCATGTAACATGATTATACCATAGCGGGAAAGTCGAGACAAACCCCTAGGCCGCCTGTCTGTACTCAAGATTTGCAAGTCTACTATACTTATGATGGCCAAGACTACCAACAACTTACCACTTTAAGACTATATTTCAACGTAATGTACTTACTAAGAAAAAAGAGTTTAAAAAGCAATATACAATTATTTCTCCTAAAAATCAACCTTTTTTCAACAAGAATTAATTTTCCAGAAAAACTGTTATTTTGGTAACTTCTACCACCATGATATTGGATAAGCAGTTTTAATGTATTTTATTTTTAGATTGTTGGAACCAATCATAACAATAAGACTGTTAAATTGTTTGCCTAAGGAAAAAAATCAACCTGAGATTGGAAATGGAGTTTAAAATGGCTAAGGTAATGTAAAAATAATAGAAACACTGTTTTTAAACTTTATGCTGCTCCAAGCAAAATTTGGTAGTGTCATAAAAACACCAACCAAATAAATTTGGGAATATATAAACAAGTTACAAAGGTTTCTTGAACTTCCCTGCGTATTTAAAAGGTGTTAGAAGAAATGAAACTTCAACAGTTTTGTGCTTCCTTTTGTTATAAGAGACTTTTAGAACCGGAACAATTCGGGAGACGTAGGAAGGGTGTTTGAGAAATTGTGAATATGTGAAACTTTATGATCAATTTGAGGTGTTCTTTTTCAAATCTGGTAGTTAACGGATTGTTTGAGCAAGAAAAATGTAGACTATGACAAGGAAAATTCTGATTGAACGGAAAAACTTGCTACTTTTAAGTCTTCTATAAACACTCGTAAACCTGATTGTCTTATACTTTACTGGACTATTTTAGACTATTTTTGGACTATGTTTGGTCGCAAGTTTGGTTCATAATATGGCATTGTGTTCCATAGATTCATAACATATATTACCTAAAATATTGGATAGTGATAGACTACAAGTAAGTTCTACAAGATAACCATTTATCAATTCTTAATTTCATTCCTAAATTAATTTAAATAATAATTTTCTTTCTGGCGAAAATGATAAATCATTTGAATATAAAAATAATTCCAAACCAATTTTTTCAAACAGTATTAATTAATATAATCCTTCAGTATTTTATCTATTAAAAAAGAGTGGTATTAATTTCTTGTGCCTTTTAATATTGCCCTCTCTTAAATTATTTGGCCAATCTGTAGTTAAATATTTTTATAGATAAAAACCAACAGCAGCAATTTACTTAAATATAAAAAATATATCCTTTATTTTATGTTTTCAAGATGTTTTATGACTAGCCACAAAACAAGACATAATTAAAATAACAGTGAAAAAGAAAGCACGGTGTAATTATATTACTTAATAAATAATTCAAAACTTCATGCCTTGGTTGTTGAAAGGAAGTGTAAATAAATATAGTTAGTTGTTCATTTATTTTAGTGGTAATGTTGTAATCACTTAGTGCTTAGTAAAAAATAAAGATAAGTTAAGTCGACTAGTATTAGTAAATTACTGTTTGTTTGTAGTGTTCAAACCCTATGATAAAAAAGTGATAAGAAAATATGATAAATATAGAGATAAGCAAATTTAAAAGTAAAACAAAAAAAACATTGTTTTTTAATTCATCTAAACACAAATAACAAGTAGATTGCTGCATATCATTTCACTAGATTTCGGCTTGTATTGGTCCCTCTTCATTTGTTCAGCTCACACAACCCGATGTGCTACAAAAAATCTGCTACATTACGACTACCTCAACCCGTAACATAAACAGTGGGAAACATTTTTAGAATGAAGTGGAGCGTTACTACATCAAAGGAGGCTACAATATGACTTGGTCTGGAGATTGTTAAAGGTAAGATTCGGAAAACTCAAAGTCGCTGGCGCTGGCACGGGAAGAACGGGTGTACACGGATACTCCTCCACCAAACGCTGAGTCCGACGTTCCTGCGTCTGTGATGAAGTCAGCTACTATCAAAGTGTCTTTATTTACCGTCAGGAGTCCGGCTGTCTGCTCGGGTAAAGTTCCGCCTCCACCTCCGCCGCCCTTCTCCTTCTCCGTAAGTCTCTGCTTCAGTAGGCGGATCTTCTCTTCTTTCTGGGAATTAAATAACATTTAGATCTATATACCACGGATTAAAGCTTTCACTATTCACATAACAAGACAGGCATTATTTCCCTGTGTTATTGATAGATAGTAAGATTGATTGGATTTTACTAAATAAAAGATATGAAAAACAATTGATGGTTTATTAACATGGTTGAGAACAAAACTGATAAAAAAGTAAACAAGTAAGTAAATAGATGATAACAATTAATAAGACAAATGATTTTATCCTCAAATGGCAGGCAGTAGAGAGTATACATAGAGTACTTCTAACATACTCCCCAAATTGCAACAGGGAACTGGGCAATTTTATTCTGTGACAGGAAGAGAGCACAATTTTGCTATTAGTCTTTTGAGTATTCCAGTAGCTGTCTTTAGTGTTACCACGCAAATGAGATTGTCAAGCCCAGGATGAACTTTTATGACTTTTGCTAAAGGCCATTTTGATGGAGGATATTATTCGTCAGTAATAAGGACTACTGATCCTACTTTAAGTTGTGTGTTTGGAAATCTCCATTTATAAATTGTCTGCAGTTGCTGAAGATATTCCCTTGACCATCTTTTCCAGAAACTTTGTAACATTTGCTGCAACAACTGCCATCTTGAAAGTCTATTTGTTGGTACTTCCTTGAGGTCTGGTTCTGGTATTGTAGATAGTGATGAACCAACCAGAAAATGTGCAGGAGTCAATGTAGATAGGTCATCAGGATCATCAGTCAATTTGCAGAGAGGTCTTGAATTCAAAACCGCTTCGATTTGTGTGAGAATGGTAGTGAATTCTTCGTATGTTAGTTGAGTATTACCAACAATTCGTTTTAGGTGATATTTCACTGACTTAACTCCTGCTTCCCAGTGACAACACTATAAAAATTAATCTGTTTGTTAACCTAATTATGGGGGAGCTTTCAACAACTGTTGAAAAATATGTAGGAACCTTTAAATTATCCCATGGATAAATGATGATTGTACGGATTTGAACCCAGGACCTCCACGATCAAGCACTCTACACTTGACAACCTCTCTCCCAACAGACATGATTAGACATGATGATCTACTACTCTAACAACACTGGTCAACTAAAATTCAAAGCATAGTAACTTTAGGTTCTAAGGTTGACTCTGAGGTCGTAGCAGATGTAGAAATTTGGTTATGTCACTTTTTTTTATTTTCCACTATCAGATCTTGGAGCTCAAAGGGGATGCTTTTGATTCAATAACTACAGTTCACAACAGTTTAAATAATTGATTTACCTGAGATATTAACTTTTGCAGTTCGTCATTTTCAATGAGGAGTTTTTGATATCTGTCTTCATCTTCTTTGGAAACACCAACGTCTGGATTGTATTTGGACTCTGCTTTGTCTCTCGGGTGGCGAATGATCTCAATAACCTGAAAAAGACATACACATCAATCCAACATGAATAATTTGTTATATGGATAGCCAATAAATAGCATAGGCCTATATATAGAATGGGATTTCAGGAGTCGTCCAAAACTAAGGGGAGTCCACGAACTTTCAGCCAAAAAAAAAAAAAAATTTTTGTGTGGTAAAAACTACTTTATGTTCTGTATTTTAGCAACATTATTTTTTTTATTTTAGGAGCGAGTGGGACCTACCATTCCAACTCACAGCATCTTCCTACACAGTCATTTCTACACGTGACACACTTTGAAAACCTCATAGGACAGAAAACAAAATTCACACACCTTTGGTACGAAAATCAGGGCCATTGATAGAAAGCAGCAGAAAATCAGAGCCAGGGCAACAAAGGCGAAACTAGCGTCTTGCTGGGAAGCGATGACCATAGTGACGGGTGCTGTGATGAGACAGAGAACCACCACGTTGTAGATGGACATCCCGACGTAGCGACTGTCGTTGATCTGCTTCACCTTGATGCTGCGAGTCTCATAGGCCAGGAACAGTCCAAACACCAACACTAGACCTTTGTAGCCATAGACTAGACCTGCAAGCAAACATTGTGCCGATACATGTTGTTGACAAAGGTTTATGTACTTTAAATATAATTTCATAACTAAAACATCAGCTCCTAAAAGTTCTCAGCTATTAGAAAAAAACACACAGTGCAAATACATGACTTTTGTGGTCCTCCATTCCCTGTCAATTCACACAAACCCGTTTCAATTTCCTGTTATTATTACAGCATCTTTATAGAAAAAAATTAGCTAAACTAGATTTTTTTTTTAAAAAGGTTGACTTGGCTCTTGACACTTTTATTGGCTGGGAGAAAATGTATTGGAAGAACAATTTGTTATCCTAAATTTTACAATATAAAACAGTGTCCTACCCAATCGCTTTATTAAGCCAATTATTCATAATGACGTCTTCCTCCTATGAAATATACTTCTTGTTTAGCCATCTTTTTCTGCAACATGAGTGTGACTATGAAGCAGGAGTCATATAGTAAGGAAATTATGAATTCAAAAACAACTATTGTTCAATCAGTGATCCAATGAATAATTTTTAAGTTAACACACAAACTAGATATGGCAACGACCAACCAAACACCTACCAAGCCACACATTGTTGCTGTCGCTCTCGCAATGTTCTAGTTCAGGGCGGATCTTGATGTCGTCGTCAGTGTTGACCGGATCTTCCAGAGGAAACACTTCGATTCTCCGCTGCATCGGGTCATAGATCTGCCAGGCGAGGAGGAACACAAGGTCTATGACGAGCAAACCTCCCACCATCGTGTACAGCTTCCACGGTTCGATCTTTTTCTATTAATGAAAGAAAATAATATACCCAGACATAAAATGAGACATCTGGTGCAGTTTGGTTGTTACTTATACAATTTTTCTGATGGACGTAGTTGTAGTTTTGTAAAATCTGTTGGGTAACTAAACTATATTTTAACTTCCAACAAATTTTACGATTAACTGACAATTATGTCTGTATCCACCAAAAAATTAGATTTAATGTTACTGTAAACCATTAAAATTTTGATTAGTATTTTTAATGCCTCTTCCTTACTTATATACAAACTAACTTTATTATGATTTATTCTGTGTAGTGTGATGCCATTATACTACGTTCGCAAAATTCAGTCCGTTTTGGAGGAAGAAAACTATCCTCTCGCTTGATCCTACCTTTAAAACAATAGCTAAAGAGCTGAAGTTGATCGGCTACATTATACAGTATTACTTTAAGCAAAATAAGTAGTGGGGGAACTTCCTAAATTTTGTGAACAAACTATAGTAAAATTAGCCTTCAGGCATTGGTTTTTGGGTGCTGAAATTGACATAACATCTGTGGAGCAGCTGCAGCCATTTTGTATTGAAACAGAACATAGTAGAATGATCCATTTACTGAGTTTGCGACAGTCTAAAATTATAGTTTCTGCCATAGCGATAGTCACATAAAATATACTATAGCGTGTAATAAAGTAGTCCTTTTTTGGCTTAGTTAAAAATTTTGCGTGTTTGATGGAAATCAGTAATTTAAATTAGTTTAAACGGGCAACAACTTTAATACCCCCTGCCACAGCATACCTGCAGACTATAGTTATTTGTGCAACTAGTGAGAAAAGTGAGCAATTGACTCACTCGAGAGAAATCCTTACTCACGAGCCGTAGGCGAGTGAGGAATGGTTTCTCGAGTGAGGCAATTGTACTTTGAACTCGAGTTGCACATTATACCTTTCCTACAGTTACCATAAAACAAATAAATTGGTGAAGAAACATAACCTATTTTTACACAGAAGTGAACTTTTAATATAAAATTTAACGTGAAGTGACAAATACAACAGTACAACAGCTGACCAGCTGATTTACAGCCAGTGCTGCCAACGTATTTCGCGTGCATACGACGTTGCCTGCATTTTACGCGCTCACTATTTCGTGCCTTCACGTTGCAAATCTGGAGTGAGACAAAGTAATTAGAGTGAGACAATGTTAACATTGTCTCACTGATGAGCAAATTGGCCACTTTGCTGTCTCAAATCAGTGAGAGAACATGTACGTTGTTAGGTAACTGTAGGAAAAAAGAATTGTCTAATTGTATTTTCACTCAAATACATTCTAAAAAATTCAAGTTTATTCCCTGTTTGAATTACATTAGTTCAATGGATGGATACGTAGGTTTGTTGCTACAGGAAAGGTAAAAGGAAAGTGGTTTGTTATTGAAAAGTAAATAGTTTAGTATGAAATAAAAAAGCCTATTCTCCATAAGAATAACATGTCAATTTTAAATTTAGTTTTTTTTTTCTCCATAACTATTAAGCGCATAATAAAGCTTCAATATAGTCAATTATTTGCTTATTTAAGTTCTTCAAAATGGTTTAGAAAGGAATTACAAAGTTAAATTTTTTATCTAAAATGGGAAAAATGCAATTTTTCCCCTTAAATGACTTTTCTTAGATCGATCGTGCTGGTTTGCAAACTCTTTCGTCTTTCGAAATAACCATAAGTTTGTAACAAATTTCATCAAAATCAAATCATTTATGCTCAAGTTATTGTGCTTATGGACACATATACATATAGGCCTCTTAATTTGAATGGATGGTGCCTTTGGCCTCTGGGGATCTCAAAACTAAAAGTAAATCGTTCCCTGGACCAGGTCTTAGCTTATTTCCTACATGGGGATATCGCTAACATGAGAATGGAATGTTTAGTTCTATCCATAGTTAAGGCTTCAGCTTTTAGTGAAAACTAGTTGGTTACAGGGATGTTTGATGTTTTAAATAAAGTATTTGAGTATTGGTTAATATACTGAGCTATGTCAGCCCACTTTTCATTACTTTCTATTTCTACTTCATTCTATGAAATTAAGGGTTTAAAAACTGATTTCAACAAAATCCCAGGTTATAAAGAATTGTGTATGGATGGTAAAGAGAGAAACACGTTAAGAGAATATTTATATCATCTTCAGAATATTTTATTTCACAACTGTCAATAAGAACAAAGGAGGCAATGAGTTAGCCCTAGCCATTCTTTCTTATATTATGAGTATTATTTATTTAACAATATTTTAATTTAAGTGTATTTTTAATCCTTACGAAAAAGGCAAAACATTAAATGTTAATTCAAAGATCTTAATATTTTAGATATTTATTTAGAATCTTAGATATTTTGTTATCGGGAATTCAATCAAGGCAGCTTAAACTTTAAAATGTAAATACTAAAAATATACTCATACAATTTGCTTAAAAAATGTGAATGTGAACGAAATGTGTAACTTATTTCATTAGCAGTGAAGGCTGAGAGTGTTGGTGAAAAAAATGGAAAAACAGCTTATCATGATTAAAATATTAAGTTTTTTTTATAAACCAATAAACCATGCACTTTCAGTTTTTATATGAATAAAGTAAAAACTAACACCTCTAAAGCATATTTCTTATGTGTGTTATATACATTGTGTAATATCTCAAGTATTCCAGCCAAGCGGTTCATAAAAAAAATTGATACAATGTGATTTTTAGATTGAAAAAAAAAATGCTTTTTACACTCACTCACCACAAACTTCAGTTTTCCGTTTCTACTTATAATTTTTGAGAGAGATTTGTTCAAAGCCTAAAACCACATGAGTAATTTCAGGATTGCTTTTTTCATGCTATAAGATATCTATAATGTTATAGTAGTAATATTAGTCACTTTGTCAGTAACGTTAGTTGCCACAATTTAATCACCATCTTCCACAAAAATTGAATATTTTTTTCCATCCCATTTCCAAAAAGTTGAAAATGTTACATAAGGCAGCGAAGATGTTTGTGTACAGGGTGACACAAACATCTTACCACCAAGAGCTCAGGCAACAACAACAAAGGTAAATCTAATAAAAATTGTATGTACTGCTACCAAAAAGTCATAAAAATTAAATTAATAATCAAATTAACTTTTGTTTGCATCTATCTTTTGTGCAAGTTAATTAAACTTTCCTAAACTGACATTGTCCAAAGTTACAACAATTGAGTATAAAACGACTCTGCAACTGAAGAAAATCATTCTTGGATGAAAATGTATTTATGGAATTTAATATTTTTCACCATCTACAACAGCAATAATTTTATTCCATAGAAGTAAATAACTGGAACGCCCCTACATTTCAGGGGCATCATCTAACGTACAACTTGAGATAAAAAAAATTTGTCATGTTTTAACCTCACTGATATAAAGGGCTGAAAGTGAAACAGCTGTTCACATTTAAGGAACAAAAAAAGGTTGCTGTCTTAGACAGTGAATTTTTTCTACGTAGGCTATATGAGCAACTCTTAATCAACAGTCCCACAATATTTATATTTCTCATTTAATCTCATTAATCACATTAATTAGATTTTCTCTACTAACTCTCGTTCTCATCTCATTGCAAAAATATTCAACATAGTAAGGAATACGTTTGTTTCCCATCCAAACACTTCTAAAAAAATTCCAAAAGTCAAACATGCTTACCAGAGTGTCAGACTTCGCCTTGGTAGTGAGACGATGCACTCGCCACACCTTGCTGAACATGGCTCCGTACGCGAGAGTGAATCCAAGCGAGAGGAACCATACGCGAGCCTGGCAGACGAGAGGGTAGACCAGGGGAGAGACAAAATGGCCGTCAAGTCCAAGCAAGAACACGGACGAGAGACAGATGATGACTCCCACAAGCATGATGGTATTGCAAACAGGATGGGAAGATTGGATCACTCTGTGAACAGAAGACGATTGATACGACTTTTGAGGAGGTATTCCATTTAATTTGAAATATGTGCTGTAACATTTGAAAGAGGTTAAATATGTTAAGCTACCTTATACCGTTTCTCCTCAATTCATAATAACAACTATAGGTTTTTTTTATAATTACAAAACACAAATTAAAACTACAGTGGTTTACTGTTGGAAGCTCGCTTTCTCTACTTCATTATCAGGTATCAGCTAATATGCGTACTTAAGCATTGTTGTCTAAACGGTTTAGTGTTATTGGGATTATGGGATTTATTGTGAATAAGACCATAGACTAAGCAGTTCACAAGTAGACTCCTCATCCCATTGTAAATTTTGAAGCTTGTTTTTTGTGTCTAGTTCATGTACGTCCACACTGATCGCTAGTGTAGACAACATTTTGTTTATATTATTTTAGGGTTATTTTCATGATTTGTGCTTTACTATTTGGTTATATAACTAGGAGACCAGTTATTGTTTATGATTATATCGTTTTATTAGGTTAAACGAGGTTTTAAATGACTGCAATAACAAGAAACAAATTGTAAACAAAACATAACCTCTAAAGTTGGACGTACAGAACTAACAATAAAATTGGCTTCAGCTGTTCCATTAGGATGACTAATCTACTAAGGGAGTATGTTTTATCTACGATAAGACTCAACATAGTGTTTTCCCAGCTCAAAGATTATGTGTCAGGACGCTAACTAACAACATAGTTGCTTTGTTCTGATTTTTGAAGATAGCATTGCAGGTCCAGCACCTTTGCCCTGTGTCATAATATCAGTATTCTAGGGATAAAATATGAATCAGCTGACTATACCAAACACACCTGCGATGTCTATAGCAGATGTTGAAGATGATGAGGCATATCGCAGCAACAATTCCGATGCTGGAGATTGCCCACATACAGATAAACAGTGGTACCGAGATGGTTCTAAGGACCCTCCTGACTATTGTTCTATCCTGGGGAACCTTCCCACCTGCAAACAGCCATATACAACATAGGACATAGTCATAAGCGACAATCATGACAACAACAAAACCATACAATATTTGCGGTTGTGTTTATTTTCTTTATGTACAAGTATGTGATTGAGAATGGAATGACTCTTCTGAAAAATCAGGATTTGACCAGTGCAAAGTTTACTTAGGATTTGATCTAGGCAATATTTAGGTTTTGCATCATAAGGTATTTGTTAGAGATGTTCAATAGCACTGTATTCTAAATAAACAGATAGCTATTGTATGTGTACAATGAGAGATATTGGAACTCGTGAACCTAGTACAAGTCATGTTTTTGACCAAACTAACTTTAAAGCATTACTTCTTGGAACCACCCGCTATTTCCTCATAATTATCACATAATCGATTTGGCATCTACATTTTCAGACCAATTTACAACAAAAAAAACTAGTAAAGTTATTACACCTCAATTTTTCAAATGTAATATATAGACTATTTAGTGTTCACTTAGTGTTCATCTGGTCGGAATAAACTCACTGACCTTTCCACTTTTCCCGGTTGAACCACGTGAGATTGTCTGCTTGAGTGTCGTAGTAACCAAGCTTGACATAAGTTCCGTTGATCACTTGCTCTATCTGGGTAAGAGCGATTCTGTCACCTTGGGAACTGAAGGCCACGTAACCCTGTAAAAGATTGGATTCTCATTGCTGTAAATGTGTTTTGACTCTACTATCAAAGCCTTCTGATCAAAAGATATGTGCAGGGGGGCTAGCTTTGATGATTAAAAAAAATGTTGATTGCTCTAGTCAAAAGTCAGAAGGAATTGAGAATACAGTAGCCACATCTATGCACGTCTCTTGTTTCCATTTTTTGTTGTCGTATTTAATCAGTTGTCATCAGGAGTGATCGGCAGATGTATAGAGCGATCATTCAAGATCAGGTGCAACCGGTTGAAGTCAGGGGGATCACATCATTTGTCCGAGTTTTCAACTGTCCGAGTTTGTTAAATAACTAATAATAATTAGATAAATCAACTGTCCGAGTTTTCATTTGTCCGAGTTTATTAAATTATTTTAAAAAATATCGAAATATCAAGTGTCCGAGTTTTCAACTGTCCGAGTATGGTTTAAATAATAATAATATTTCGTTAAATCAACTGTCCGAGTTTTCATTTGTCCGAGTTTTTAAATTATTAAAAAAAATATCAAAATATCATTTGTCCGAGTTTTCAACTGTCCGAGTAGGGGCAACATCAAAATGTGACACTGCGCGCCGAGACTAGCGTGTCTAAAGCGCCTGTTCAGAAGTCGATGAGAACCCCTTCTGTGAAGGAGTCAGGCATTGTGCGAGCCACGAGAGGCCCTCACGTCGACTTAAGAAAAATTATATTATTTTTATTGTAAGACTAATTTTACAATTTTTAATTAATTATAAAATCAAACTGTCATCATCAAACACAACCAACCAAACTTGCTGTTAATATAAAATACCCCCGCTTTTATTATATTATCAGCAAGTTTGGTTGGTTGTGTGTGGTGATGACAGTTTGATTTTATAATTAAAAATTGTAAAATTAGTCTTATAATAAAAAAATATAATTTTTCTTAAGTCGACGTGAGGGCCTTTCGCGGCTCGCACAATGCCTGACTCCTTCACAGAAGGGGTTCACATCAACTTCTGAACAGGCGCTTTAGACACGCTAGTCTCGGCGCGCAGTGTCACATTTTGATGTTGCCCCTACTCGGACAGTTGAAAACTTGGACAAATGATATTTTGATATTTTTTTAAATAATTTAAAAACTCGGACAAATGAAAACTCGGACAGTTGATTTAACGAAATATTATTATTATTTAAACCATACTCGGACAGTTGAAAACTCGGACACTTGATATTTCGATATTTTTTAAAATAATTTAATAAACTCGGACAAATGAAAACTCGGACAGTTGATTTATCTAATTATTATTAGTTATTTAACAAAACTCGGACAGTTGAAAACTCGGACAAATGATTTTTCAAATATTTTGTAATTTTTAACAAACTCGGACAGTTGAAAACTCGGACAAATGAACCTCACCCAAGTCAGGTGTGATAGGTAGACTTTGGGAGCTATCGGCAGATGCCGGGAGCCATTGTCAGATAACTTTTAAAATTCTGACATACCTATAAAGAATTCTAACCGAATAGCAGAAGACTTTTTTTCCTGAATAAGTCATAAATATTTAGCTCTAGATCAACTCCAATTCAAACTAACAATTAATTAACCTACTTGATAGCAAACATAGTTGATGGTGGACATCAATAAAATCAACTCCATAAATCAAACCTCTTTGCAATAGCCGTGAAACGATGAAACACACACACACTACCCCAATATGAAATATGTACATTACGTTGCAAAAGGAGAGCAATACAATCGATTACCCAGTTGCTACCGGTACCACTTTAAAATGCTCAAAGAAATAAGAACTAACATCAGGATCAAGGTAACAAAAAAATAAAAACATCAATGATTCAAATCTTGAAATTGGGTCTTACATTACAAATTTATTGAATCTGTTATATACGATATATCAAATTAATACTCACAGATACGCCAAGGAATTGAGTTGAGTTGATGGCAGAATAAATGTCATCAGCAGTCTCTTTATCAGTGTACGTAAAGTTCTTCAGAGTTTTCCCAACTCTGCTTAACCTCTGCATTGTTTTATTAAAAGCTGAAATGTAACAACCTCATGAAACACAAAATCTAAATTAAAATAATTATTTAAAGAGTTATAATTTTCTAAATGTTTGGTCTATTGATGGGGTAAATTCTACTAAGCAATTAGATTACTAACCAGGTAACTTGCCCTTAAAACACCCTTGAAAAGCTCATGGAAAAATCTAATAACAGTGGCAGAATGTATGTAAATGTATGTATGTGGAGATTCAAATTTATTTGAGAATATAGAAGGTCTTGATGGTTGAGAAGAGAACTTTTTCTTCTATCAGTGATCGAATAACCACTGGCAAAAAATGCAAGATAATTTGATATGATCATAATTATGATTATTTGATATGATTTGATTTCTGATTTCTGATCATGTAAAGTCACAAATACAAGAAATTCTGAATGTTTTCATTCAGCAATCATCTGTTATGACAATTTTACAATAGGATGACAAGCAGTATTCATGGTCAACGCACAAACTTACCTAACGCTACTGACCACACAGCGTCGTAAGCCAATGGGGCTTCTTGATATCCCTCTGGATACCTTAGGTTGTCAATATCATATCCTCCCTTCCGCAGAACATCATTCAAGCGCACTCTGAAATCTTCCGAGGTCTGGAACAAATGTTAAATTATGAATAAAAGTAGACGTTCCTGTCCCATATTATAGCTGTAGAAATTGTTAGAATCTAAATTTACTTAGTTATAACTTATTCTAAACTATAGCATGTCGAATATCAAGTAAGAAAAATAAGAGCGAATAGAATAGTGGACTGTTGCACATAGCATACTCTATGAGTGGCTAATTCAGCTATGTTATCTATATCTATAAAAGAGGAACTATGTATGTATGTATATGTGTGTGTGTGTATATACGTTATGGACTCCGAGACCGCTCGACAGATTGTAATGAAACTTTCAGGTATTATTAAGCATATTTCAAGGATGGTTCGAGTGGAGTTTGGTGCAGATCCGTCAAAAGGGCTCTGCCCCAGAGGGTTTTAAGTGGGCCAATGTCAGACTTTATGATCTACAATGTTTACAAATAAATATAATTTAAAAGCAGATATTTACTTTCACCAACTGTTTGTAGGTTTGAATAATTACAACATTCTGTATTAGCATTAGTCATGATTTGAAATAGTACCACAGTGTTTCTACAGAGTGCAGCACAGGAAATTATTTTACTTTTGAATAAGTCCAAATGTATTAAACCCCAACCGCAGCACACCTGTGCACTCAACAACGTTTAAATTCTCCAATGTTAAATATTAAAAACCTTTATCAAAGTATTATAAACAATAAAAGGGATGACTTTTTAAAATTTATGACAACAGCTAATTTGCAACCAAAAGGTGAGTGAGCGTAGCGAACGAACATCAACCTGGAGGCGAGTTAGCGTAGCGAACGAGCTAACCTGAAAAAAGGTGAGCACAGCAAACGAGCTCCAATCTAAAGGTGAGTGAGCGTAGCGAACAAACTTTAACCGGGACGTGATTGAGCCATGCGAATACTTATGAAGTTAAACGGGGCAAAGCCCGTGGGTACAGCTAGTTGTTTAATAAAAACCATCCACAGCTGGTCCATATAGATGAGATGTCTATTTTAGTATCTAAAAGTCAATGGTATAAGTCGTCAATGGTAGCCTATAGTCCATTCACAAAATTTAGGTGGTTTGCTGGGTTTCCACTTTTTTTAGCTTAATCTATTTACCAGCTTATCAGCTGTCAGCTCTTATTTCAAAGTTAGGATGAGATGCAGAGGATGAAATCGCTTCCCCTCAAACCGCCTAAATTTGTGAACGAAGTATACACTTTGGTGTGGTAACGTTCTGCTGGCGACCTACCATGCCGGATATGGTCCGTTGATTGTTCTGGTTCCACATGAGCGCCTCTGTGGTGATGTGACCCTCGGCTGCTCGTCTCATATCCTCCTTGCTACACTCTATATGTTCTTTCTCCATCTGCACCTCGAACCAGTTGTCCTCGTACCAGCCTGTGAATTTAAATATCTCAAAATAAAATGAAGTTTTAATCCGTGGGAAAAGATCTGTATTGCTGGGCATTTGGTGGTTTATACACATTAACTGTGGTCATCTCATTTTCAAAGCAACAGTAAAAATTATCTCTACTTTGGTCAGAGTATTGAAATTTCATTAATGTTCTTTTCAACATGTCTAAATACACCATAAACCCTGTGTCCCATGCTGACCAAATGTCTCAGCATCCCTAAGAAGGGGGTGAATTGCTTTAGTGTAAGTCTCTTGTAGTTAAAAAAAAACTTCAACTTAATTATTTTCAAGCTAGATTTCAGGTCAGAGAACATTTTTAGGACACATACATTGTTTGTCAGTAGTAATTTAAGCTTAGAAGCATCACTACTCAATTACTTCAAAAATTGTGTGGGTAAGCCGAGTGGTTATGGCCGCCTACAAAAGCCGAGAGGTTATGGCTGTTAAGTTCTATCACCTAATAATTTTCTTTAGCCTTTACTTAGAACAGCTGATGTTTAAAAAATGATTCATACTGTACAAATAAATATTATTCCTTTCTGTTCTTCTTGAAAACATAACTTTTATTTTTCTCTCTTAATTTTTCATTAATTTACTCAAACACTCCACAATGGCCGCCTTCAAATCCGATCTAAGGTTACCAGACCAGGTTTTGGACTGTTCTCTTACAAACAATACAAGTTGGAAAATGCTACTTGCACAGATAAGACAATTAAGATAAAAAATAAACTACTCTCCAGTACTGAACTAAGAATCTTTGACGAGACTGATAGCATGTAACTGTTGAATGGTCAAATAAATTCTTGATTCTTGAATAATCAACTCTTTTGATCCAGTTTTCCATACAGGCTAAACTATGATGTTTGAGACTATGTTTGTTTTTCTAAAAGTTTGCAAATGAACAGATGACCTAGTTTTTAAGGTAGGATTATTAAAAAACAATCACATTATAGGATCAAAATCTTTTTTTTAACAACTAAGCACTATTGTAAAATTAAACATATGCTCACCTATAAAGAACCAGACATAAGATTTGCCGTAGAGCTGTTGCTTGAACATCTCGCATAGAACCCGCCTGGCTGCCACAACGTAGAACAACCCCACGATAATACGAGCGTCTTGTCGTCTCAGGTTGCGGACTGCGTCAGTTGGATCGCTCAGAAAACTCTGACGAGTCACAATCTCTATACCACTCTCCTTACAACGGGCTTCCAGGTCCTCCACGGTCTGAAAATATAAACATTGTTAAACTGTTTGGAATTATTTTCCTCTTGGATTGTAGCCTACATAAAAATGTATTCTAAAAAGAATGTTTCTGACTGCTTGTAAGATTTATGACAGAATATGCTTAAAACCCTTGCATTGCTTGGACGCTCCACGCACATGTGTAAAGCCCATGTGGAAGGGAAAATTCAATTAAGGTTAAAAAATCTCATTAACCTCTTAAAAATATATATAATATTTTAATGGGGTTAACTTTAAAAAAATGAGGTCTGATTAGGTGTTTCGTTTAGGCAACAGTTTATTCATATGATTTTGTTTACTTTTTTTTTTAATAGGGTAGCAACCCAGCAGACGCACAGGCAGCGCTTGCCTATGTCTGCTAGTTTTCTAAAAAATAAATTTGTGTAAAATAAACATTGATTATTTTATTCATTAGCCTACATAATTCATTAATTCATACTTAAATTATTATCCTAGCCAATTTTAATTTTCACAAACTGTTACAAAAAAGATCAGAAATGTTGACCAGTTCCCCTTAACCATTTTCGAAGTGCCACTGGGGAAGACAGTTAAAAGAAGTTAAAAGAAGACTCACCGAGATGAAGACCTCCTCGGCCTGTTGCAGTATAGCCACTCTGGACCATCCAAACTTCTCCATGAGTTTGATGCGTGTAGGGTTGTGTACAGTGGCCGACGGGTGAGTTCTGAACAGCGTCGGAAACCTGTTACGATCCGACAACGCTGGGGAACTGGCTCCATAGCATAACTGCAACAAACAATGGGTTGGTAAAGGTGTTTTGTACTTGGTGAATATTGTAAATAGGGAATGATCGATATCAAACAGAGACCTTTTGTTCATGAAAAATGTCGTGGTCAGTCAATCGTCACCCAATTAGAATAATTACACACACTACCGGGATATTGAAGTATCAGATGCTTTATTCGTTCTTTAGGTGTATGAAGGAAGAAGTGGAGATTAGGAGTCAAAAATATATAGGGATGATGTACATGTTCAAATTTCTGAACCAACTTCTGGACCCCACTCTCCACTGAACCATCGCTAATCAGAAAAAATTGGTATATAACTCTACTCCTTCAGGACTATGGTAGGTTTCTCAAGCACAGAATTAACTGTGCTTACTCTCTGCTATCTTAAGGGGTGCACACACCGGAGCGGAACAGAAGAGCAGTAGCGGTGCGATATTCGCACGGTTATTTAGTACAATGGAAGTAAATGCCACACAGGATCGGTGCGAGCGGTGCGGTTTACCACCTGTACCACGGTACCGCTGAGATACAGCATGTTCCATTTCACCACCCAGCGGTGACAGAAGAGCCTGTGCGACGAGCCTGGCATTTGGGTTTCTTGTCTTTTCTAAGTTTAGGCATCAATGTATGGTATTCACAATGCTCAAATCTCCTTTTGTTGATGTCATGTACCCACTCCTTATTTTTGCGATCGTTGTCCTCAGCTACAGCAAACAATAGCAAGATTTCTTCCCCGTTATCTGATGAAAACAAATTTATAACTAACAACACACCGCACTTGTTGACTGCACACTCATAAATGAGGACGAAAAATTACTGTAGACTGCTGTCACCACTGCGGTGCGGAATCGCTCTGGTGTGAACGCCCCAGCGATACCGCCGCGGCGGTGATGGTGGATGGGGGAAATGAAAAAAACTTGCAGATACTGCCACCGCTCCGGTGTATGCAGACTTTTATGCATAAGGAATGGGCCAAAGCCTCAAAGCACTTCATCCAGGTTTTTTTTAATTTTATTAGTCACTAATACTTACCACCACAAGATTCCACATCTTTGCGGCCTCTGCGACCGTAGTGCATGTTGTGCTGCAGCCGGCCAGTAACATGAGCTTCTGCGGTTTGTTGTACAACAAGTTATACATGACTGAGGCCCCCAGGCCTGGGTCACACTGTAAGGAAAAACAGACTTTTCATCATCATGTCAAATGTCTTAAATCAATTACTGTAAGAAGAGCAATGGCAATTAATTGGTAAGATTTGACATTTGAGGTGTTAGGTACATTTAATTGATTAATTAGACCCTATCCTCTGAACAACATTGACAGATATATATAGGGTTAAGGGATCCTTTAGTGGTCAATTATACACAAATCCTAGATTTTGACTTGAAATAGAGCATTGGATTACTGGATTGTTTTGGCAAAGGACTTCAGTTTCACAGAAAACCTGTGAGGGTAATTCTGAGCAATTACTTGGTCAACCCCAATTTTTTTATACTTTACTACGTCATCAGGATGTTCTTAGAAAACAAGAAACATATAATTTAAGCCCCGCAAGGCCATCGTACAGGTTGCAGAGCGATAAGAACTTTCAAATTCCAAGCGATAAGTGGCTTGCGGGAGATGCGCGGAAGGCCAGTTATGCCAGTACCGTTATGGCTATGGCTAGTGGTTCCTCCGATAATCCTTTTTTATGTGACTGGTGTGAGAACACGTTACTTAGTTTAACGGTTTTAAGTGAAGATCAGGAAAAGTTAACACGTTTTTTGTACGAACACAGCGTTTTGCAATGTACTAAAGTGTGTCCACAATGTGGCGGGTCGATGACGTTAAATAAAGAAAAATACCCCCGCCGCAGCAAACCTGCCGTCCAAGCGAATTTCCATTTGGCCGAATTGATTTTCAATTGATCTATTTAAATAACATTAGGTTTAACGAGTACCTAGGTTTGCTGCTGCAAGGAAACTAATAAAGTACTGTGTTTTTAGTAAAATATTAATAGCTTACTATAAAATAAATAAATTTGCCAAGTTTGATCAAAATATATCCAAACAAGCAAACTACAACATTTTACAATATTCTCCATAAGAATAACATGGGAATTTTAAATTTAAAATTTTTTTAGTTTTCTCCGTAACCAATAACCGTACAAAAACACTTTGATATACTGAATTGTTTGTTTTTTAAGCTCTTTAAGAAGGTTTAGAGAAAAATTGGGAAATTTTGTGTTTTGAGGGTAAAAAGTGAGAAAAACCAATTTTTACCCCATAAAACCCCCCATAAAACCCTGTTCCCATGGTCCGATCATGCTGGATCGCGAACTCATTCAAGTTTATCCCGCTTTACACCTTCAAACCAAATTTCATCAAAATCGGATAAAAATTACTCAAGTTATCGTGTTCACGGACACATATATATATATATATATATATATCTATATATATATATATACATATATAAAAATTTGAACGAATGGTGTTTTTGGCCTCTGGGGACATTAAAATGAAAAAGTAAATCGGTCCTGGGCCTAAGTCTTACCATGAGACCTACGGTAATAGCTACTTCCCCATAGGGAAATTCGCTAACACATGTTTAACTGTTGGAATAGAATTGAGTCTACACCATTTTTTCGGGCTATCCGTGAAGTTTACAACGGGGAACCATCACAACAGAACACTGATCCAGTTGCCGCAGACTGGGATGAGGACGTTGAACCCGGCGATGACTGACATAATTTTTTTTTTTATATAACATATATTAACTTTGCGGGGCTGAATTATGTTTTTTTAGTTTCACATACTCTAAGGCCAGTTGCGACAGTAACGTTATGTTTGGTTAGGTTAATTCACAACCTAACGTAATCTAACCTAACCTAACTTAACCTTGCGGGGCAGAACATCCTGATAACCATAGTTAAGTATTGAAAAAAATTGGGGTCGACCAAGTAATTGCTCAGAATTACCCCTGTGAGATATTATCGGTTTTAGCTTTTAACTTACCTAAATATTGATATTATCAAATGATTTTGATTCGGTTGAATATGATCGATGGCTTTTAAAAAACCTAGGGCCTATTATATTTTTTTATCAAATTGAGGTAAACTTATGATTTTTTAATATATTAATAGACTAAGTTAGCCTAAGTACCTACTTAAGTTATTTAACAAAAAATATATACGGTAAATTATTTTATAAATTAATGTTAACAAAACAAACAATGAATTAAGTTTACCATAATATAGTAAGTAACAAATATTAGGCCTACTATAGTTTCTTCAATTTTTAGTCGTACACAGTTTAATAACTTACCAAGGATAAAATAAACCAACTAGCCTAGCCTACTTTATTGATGTTTTTGTTATTCTTTTTAACTTATTCATGATAAAATTAAATTTAATGCGGTATTAATATCGAACCGAATCAAAACTGAAAATATTGATAACTTGTTAAATCCGGTAAGTATATCGCAGGTTCTCTGCGGACCCGGACGAAAGCCATTGCCTGTGAAGTTTAAATCCATTACTGTATGTCAAATATAATGATACTTAAATAACAAAGATTTAATTACTAATTTGGATGCATATAGAGCTGTCTTATACATTATTGAGTTAAGCTTAGGCCCATATTTTATTCTCAAAAGGGTGGTGGAGTGGAGTCACCAGACAGATACGGTTTCTCCAACAATTACAAAAACGTTATAACTACTTTATAATTAAGGTGATTTGGAATATTAACCCTCCAAGTGTCCATAGTTTAGGCCTTAATGTCCACCTATTTTTGGCGCATTTGCAAGGTTTTATTAAAACGGATCTGAGAAGCTTAAAACAATGTTAATTCTAATGTTCTATATACCATTTTGTTTGGAAAATCATGGGCTTCAATATTATATATAAAACATAAGGAACACTTTTTCAAAAAAAAAATTTTTAGGTAAAAAAAAATATAATTTCGAAAATTTTCAAAAAAAAAAATAAGTTCGCGCTCAATGAAATTGTATAAATTATAGGCCTATAAATATTTGAAAATAGCCACTTTGTTCTAAATTTTATGAGGATTACAAATATATAATAATATAAGGAAGTAGATTTGCAAATAAATAAGTTATGGGCAAAAAACTGATTTCAGTACATAGTGTTTAGCTAAGAATGCATAGCCTAACCATAGCTAGGAATCTGGCTGATAATTTACATCAATATCACTACCTACTTCTTCAGGATCATCAACCAGCACTTCAAAACCACTAAAATCTTCTTAAAATGCAACACGTATATCACTACTTTTGATTTTTAACACTAAAACAATGATAAACGTAATAAAACACATCAGTCATCGGTCCGAGGTTAACCGCTGCTGTTTACAAATACACGCACGTCAGCTGTCTACTACAATTACGATCGGCTCAGAGAACGTACAGCGCTGAGACAGACCTCTGGAGAAAGCTTAGAATATTACGGAAAGAACGATACCTAACTCGATCCAGTTCAATCCGATTCAGTCAGTCATAGAGCCTTCGCCGTACACGATGTCTGCTTGTCGAATTTTCGTCAAGTAACACTGGGAGGGTTAACTTAGTTTAGCCGATTTCCTCACCTCACTATCATTCCAGTGAAGCTTGAGCTTGTATCCTGGCAGTAAATCTTTAGCCTTGTTGACATCTTCTAAAGCTAGATTTGCTGCTGGTTCACAAGCCTGAGAGATCAAATATATTTAAGCACTTCTTCTACAAATACCTATTTATAGATTCAACTTCTTAAACTACAGTTCTTGGTCTACAGAAATTCAATATCAATACATCAGCTACGAATTAGGTCCCAAAGAAAAAGTGAGTTTATTGTTTGTGAGCGTTTTTGAGAACAATCAACTTAATTACAATTCGATACCAGAATTTCAGAATACAGTATATTTAAGAGAAATGAAACTTAATTTCAGTCACAAAATTATTGAAATTAAATTGTTTTGAATTTGTTGAGTTTGTGTTGTGATTGTTATGAAGAAAAGGAATCAGAATCAGCTGATAAGGATAGAGATGATCTTTCGGGTCTGATTTAGGGGAGGTATGAATGAGGCATCGATGACATCATAGTTTAGTTCAAAATTCCTCCGTAAACAGCGCTGTAGTTCTGTTTATAAAATAAATATATAAACATAAATATAAATATATAATTATATAATATATATATAATTTATAAATGCCTAAAATTCAATTTTTTAATTTTTTAACCCTCTATGTGTCCAAAGTATAGGCCTTAATGTTTGCCTATTTATTGCACATTTGCAAGGTTTTATTAAAACGGATCTGAGAAGCTTAAAAACACTGTTTATTATACCGTTTTATATAGGCCTGCCATTTTGTTTGGAAAATCATGGACTTCAATATTATACATAAAACATAAAAAACATTTGTTTCAAAAACTTTTGTTAGGTAAATTTTTTTTTATCATGGAAAAAATTAGGTTTTTTTGCTCTATAAAATCGTAGGTCTATAAATTATAGGCCTAGGCCTATAATTATTTGAAGATAGCCACTTTGTTCTAACTTTATGAAGATTTCAAATATAGCCTATAATAAAGTGAGATAAGTTATGAAATAATTAAGTTATGGGTGAAAAACATGTTTTACGCATTAGGTAATAAAAAAAATACCGAAATCGCCCAATGACTTAACAGCTTTCATAAAAACATATATCTGAAACCAACCAGTGGATTTCATGTTGTATGAGATTTTACAGTTAGTACGCTACAAAATCAGCCTAGTAAATGAAAAAAATACAGCATGCTTTTACCTTGATTATGGGGCCAGGAAATTCTTTGCCGAACTTGAAGAATTTGTTTGCTGAACTTGAAGAAATTATGAAATATCCAAAATATTATTTACAAAATGTCACAAAAGTCAGACAAAAAACTTGCAAAGTTGTTGCTGTCAATAGTTTTCAACACTTGTAAATAAAAACTAAACACTTGAATAAAAATAAATATTTAGGCCCGATTTCACCAAACTTTTAAACCGCCGTTAAGCCTTGCTCTAACTGCAGTTAGCTCTTAACTGACGAAATCGGATTTCACCACTCGCCGTTAGCGCTAGTTTAGACTAAACCGTCGTTAGATAATTAACTGCCCAATTTTGACCGGTTAACTTCTTTAATCTTTCGTTAAGTAAATATCAGCTGGCTTTAAGTTTAAAGTTTATATGGAAAGGCGAAATGGTAGAAGAGAATACGGTACGAATTAGCTTTTGAAAGTAAGTGATGGCAATGAAGTGGCCTATGTTGTTCGCCTAACTAGGTGGATAAGAGAAAGGGTTAATGATTTTAATAACAAAGATGAAATTGATTTTATTATTAGATATGAACTATCAAAACGTTCAGCATTTTTCTTTAGGAAATGAATACAAACCACTGTAGTGGTTTGTGTTTAGGCTATCCCACATAGTGCATTGCTTTAGGTTATCCCACAACGCTTTTAGTTAAGGCGTATTTTTCTGTGATCAGCGACCGCATTGAACTGATAGGCGATCAAGAGCCGTACTCTTTTATATCGTCTAAAAAGAGTGTTCCGGCTCTTTTACCAACATTATCAAATTTATTATTGCATTGTTCGAAAAAATAGAAGGTCCCTTTCCTTCTCCCGGCTTTGGGTAACCCTAACCCAACGTTCAAACAATTGTTTTGCGTTCGGTCAGACGTAAGTAAACCAAAATCTAAACCTAAATTGTCATTATTGTGCTAGTATTTTATAGAAAATAATTATTTTGGTGTTATCTACATTGTGTCTCGTTCTTGTAATTCTTTTGACTCCAGTTTTTTTCACTACTTCAAATGTACCAAACTGGTTAGTGAACAAACAGAATATTGAACATGCCTCCCTGTAAAAAGTTGGATTGATGAGTCTTCACTCGACCGCAAAACTCAACCAATTTGTTCTTCGAATATGTTAGATCAACATTGCTTTGCCCTTATTTACTTATGTTAATTGTTTTGGTATTTATTCTTGCTTTCTGTTGTTATTTTACTCAGAATCTATTGTATTCCTGTAAGCTTGCTGTCTCCACTCTCCAGTTTTGTTTTCACTACCTCATAAACACTGATTTATTTTCTAGGTTATGTTTACTTGCTCCCGTAACAGCCCGGTATTATGACAGTTCAGTGCCACTGCCACCTGGATTTTACTCTAAACTCTCGTTTATAAAACTAGCGTTAGTTTTGACGCGTTTTCGTTGGTGAAACCAGATTTCCTTAACTGTGGTTTAAATCGACGGTTAGTTTTAACCGAAGTTTAATTAAACCATCGTTAGCGAGAATTTGGTGAAATCGGGCCTAAGTTATATACAAAAGAATTTGGAGACATGGGCCTACTCAGAGTCTTCACCGCTGCTTTGGTCTAGGGTCACTTTGGCCCTTTTTCTGCCCCTTTTATGCCTCCAAAAGTGTTGCATTTTGTGGAAGCATTCTCTGTGAACACCCACATTGCAACCGGGGCACCAATATCTAGACCTGCCTCTAGTTTTGGTGTGACTACAAACGATACACTTTCTTTCTTGTCTTCGAGGCAGTTTTTCAAGTCGGTGGTCACCGCAATCCCCGAGGGTTCCAGGAACTGGTCCAGGTAAGGCATCACAGTTTGCTTGGCCTACGAGGGATTCTACAATAGATATAAGGAAATCTCTTCTTGATACAGGTTTGTCTGTGTTCTCTTTGTACAGTATGTAAGCATTTACGAGTGCAATATCAATAAAATTGAAGAACAGCTTCTTCCAGTACTTGAAAGTGGTGCGGTTGCAAAGCATATGGTACACAGATTTATGGTTTACATCTACACCACCCATAAACTGGTTGTAATGGTGAATCAAAACCGGTTTCATGCCTCTAAGTCCCTTTTTACTTGTAATAATTTGATCTTCCGCATGGTATGCTGTTGATATCAAATACACAATTTTCCTACTCAGTTTCTGACGGTAACCAACCAATAACAGATTTCCCTTTCTAAAGTATACTGTTTCCCTTTCTCCTAAGTTGTAATTTTTAATTCTTTTTGATAAAAATTTTGACTTTTTGTTTATGGTTCCGGTGATGAATGTTTGTCGTTGAAGAAGGTTTTCGGCCAATGGAATTTGTGTATAAAAATTGTCTGTCACAAATACATGATATCCTTTGTCAAGCAATGAAGATTTTTCAATCAAGTTCTTTACTACCCTCTCAGTAAATAATTCTTCATCAAGATTGGCTTCAGCAAGGTAATCAGTTCCACATAGTTCTATGTGCATAACATAATTGGTTGCACTATCGCAAAGTTCGAATTTTTTAATTCTGTATTGTTTGTATTTCTTATTTGGCATATATTGAATGAATATGCATCGGTTCTTTGTTCCTACTACACTTTCGTTGATGGAGAGTTCCTGATTTGGTACAAAGTGTTTTTTGAAACATGAATTCAGATGATCTAACAACCACCTTACTTTTATCCAATGGTCATGTCCAGGCTGACCCCTCACAACAGCGTGGGCCGATGTCAAACGCAAGAAGCTGCTTATGAGTAAAAACCTATTTACACCCATGGTGTTTAAAAAAAATGGTATTTGTTCTGTTTTCCTAGTGTCCCAATATGATTTGATGTTTTTTCTAACAGTAATTCCCATATTGATAAGAATGGCAAAAAACTTTTTCATTTCCTGAATGGAAACATTGGACCATCTTTTGAACCTAGAATGTGGACTCAAATTATCTCTATTTTCATCTACTGTTCTTTGAGCATAGGCATTTGTCTCTCTAGTAATGATATCCCAAAAGGCAGCTGTCAAAAATAGGTTCAAATAATTGATAGGGGAAGAATTTCTGGGAGGTAAATCTTTGGGTCCTGTAGACCTAACTTGAAACTGAGGTCTGACATCTTTCGGAGGTTCGGGGGGATATACCCTAATCCAAGGTTCTATGTTTTGCTGTACCGGTATTAGCCTAGGCCTACCTGCATTAGGGTCTTGTTGTTCATTTTCTGTTTCAAGATTTTCCTCAATATCTGACGTCTCTAAAAAGTTAAAATCGGGCACAATATACTCCTCTGCACTCCCTGACGAAAAGTCTAGCGAAGATAGCTCAGAATCTGAAGGATAATAATTCACATCAATGTCACTGCCTACTTCTTCGGGATCATCAACCAGTCCTTCAACATCACTTATATCTTCAATTAGTCCATTACGTATATCACTACTGTCCATTTTTACGTGATTTTTACCACCAAAAACGACGATAAACAAACGTAAACGTACTAAAACTAAAACACCAAGTCAAGTCACTGATGGTTGATGTAAATTGTAAATAAACTAATAAACCAAGTTCAAAGTTCTAGTTTTTTTTCCTCTAGCTTGCTTAGCAGGCTTCGGCTTAATCGTTTAATAGACCAGGCAGCTTCGATGTACACTGAGTTGTGGTTGCTTCCAATTCATCCTGCAATTAAGGTTATTTATTAGTTTACAAATTGTCATTGAGCATGAATGTGCACAATCAATGATTTATGTTGATATTTTGTCATTGTTTTCGTTAATGTACCTAATTATGTTTTTTTAAGATAGAATGATCTAAAGGTTCAAGGGATTCTTAAGGATGTCAGAAATAGGTGATCTTCTTTGCCAGGGGCCCATCAGGTATACCAGGCATACCTAACCTAACTACCCAGAAGAGGGGAGGAGGGCCACGGATTAAGAAACCCAAGAGTGGACAACATAAATGTAATTCTAACTGTGTTTGTGTTTCATTGTTCTTTAAATTGCTTTTCCTATTTCCTTCAAATAATTGTTTATTTCCTTGTAAATGTGATTATTTCCAGATTTTAGGGCTTCTTGTAGGTTGTTTCCATTCTTTCTAAATGTTTCTTTAAGGAGTGTTTCTCTGAAATAATTATAATTTGGGCAACCCCAAAATAGATGCTGCAATGAAATGATTCATCTTCTCCTTTAGTGCATTTCAAGCAAGTGGGGTAAAGTACATATTCTTAGAATGGAGATACTTATTCACTCTGGCATGGCCTAATCTAAGTTTGCATATATTTGTTATTTTCTTCCTGTTGAGTTTTGATTGTGTGAACCATGGTTTTATTGGCAATCTCTCCTGTACATTTTTGTGCCATAACCCTTTTTAGTGGATTGTAAAATTAAATCATTGTAGAATTCTCTATGGACTTTCTTTCTAAATATGTTGTAGTCTAAGAAGGGGATGTGGATATCTACAACATCTCCATCACCAATATCTTCTCTTGCTAATTTGTCAGCTATTTAATTGTTAATTATGTCTGAATGTCCTGGGACCCAATGAAGTGCATAGAACTTGGGTTTTTGTCTAATTCAGATATTTTGTTATCAACTTCATTTGAATGATTAAAACCATTGACAGATTTTAATGCAGATTGTGAATCTGAAAAAATAGCAATGTTTTCTTCATCTTTTAGACGAACCAACCAAACTTGCTGATGATAAGAAAAAATCTTTAACAAAATGTTAGTGTTTCCGGCGGGATTCGAACAAGTCACCTTCGGTCTATCAGCTTGGCACTCTATCCATTAGCATTAGACCACCGAGGCCATGGCTTTTCATCGTATCGTTGCAGTAATGGTGTTCCTTCAGCTAATCAGAAGCCTCAAATCGTCATCGTAGGCTTATCTATACCTCCCTTGAGTAAACACCTGATCCTTCCATGCCGTCGTAAATACAATCTGATCTTAGTTAAGTGAAAAAGGCACGCTTTAACTTGCACTCAAACCCAAAAGGAAGAAAATATTTCATAACAGTTTTCTTTTAGTGCATAGAAAGGGAGAAATATAATTAATTTATAACCACTATTTAATAGAAGAATCATTGTTGAAGTCAATAAATATATATGACTTTATTCAAATGTATAGCTGTACTATACTTTTTTATAAGCAGTAAGCAGATTTTACTACCTAGTTAAATCTAATTCTAAACGTGTCTCTAAGATGAAGTTTCACTGCTTATATGTTTTCTCCTGAAAAATCAATATATACCTGTCCTCCCTGCCAACCTCCTTGACCAGCGATGGGGAAGATCCCGCCGATGTGTAAAACGTCATCGTCCACCGCTGCCAGCCCTGCGGCGACAACCACAATCAGCGCTGCCCCCACACGCCATGGCTGTGGGAAAAAGTCTTTGAAAACAGATCAAATACAGTTTGTTTTTACAAGTTCAACACGTGTGTAGTGCCGGATTTATGGCCTATTGTCGCAAAATCAAGGAACCGCAGTGTTTTGTACAAAACACTTTAAAAAAAATAAGTCATTATTGAGAAGATTAATAATTTGCCGTGAAGTTGCAGACGGTCCCGGCGCGGGTGGTACCAGGGACCGTCCGCGTCGTGTGATAGGCCTATCTAAATGTTATGTTCGTAATTCGTTTCGTGTTATTTATTTATTGTATGCGTGTGACAGCAATGTCTTACTGTGTTTGTACCCTGACGATGCCGTATTAACGGCGAAACATGTAGGTTTTTAGCCTAACACCACATCATTTGGATTACTTGACGAGGTAATTATACCACAATATTATAGTCATTCATAGTAATCCAGGGGCCATCAACATGGAATTTAATAAAATGATTACTTAAATCGTGATTAATTATGAATCAAAGTTGTGGATATTACAAGCTTATATTAAGGTAAAAGTAGAGTCCATACACATGAATAAACTGAACAGAATCTATCTCAATCGATCAAACATTACCATATGGATTTAACATTCTTCTGGATAAGCGGGCAATGTTTATGTCAGGTAACGGCATGGATTTTAAAATTAATAAGATTTGTGAAATTTTACAACAGATCCTACACAGATTGTAAATCTATGATTCCGGTATATTTATACATGTTTAATAATTTATTAGGTACCTAAAATATCAGTGTTTGAAAATTAAAATGAAAAATGAAAGTTGGTTTATTTTCCAGAATATGACAATGTATATTTAAATAAATTATTGGAAATATAGGTACCTCAAGGTGGAACCTGTGGCGAGGTTACCATAATTTTATTGCACATACTTTATTTGAAATTTAAGTTCATACAGTGCAAAACTAAGTTTAAAACACAGAAGATACACATTGAAAATAAATAAACACTCTTGCAAGCACCAGAACTTTTAATTAATTTTATTATTTTTTTATTTAGTTTGCGTGTAATGTGTACGGTACAAAATGCCACAACTTATAATGTTTCGTTACCTAATTTATTTATTTTATTGATTATGCTAGTCTGGTATGAAAGTTTTAATTTTATTATCTAGTCTAACGCCATACAGTACTATACTTATGTTACCAACTTAAACTTCATTATTACACCCTCATAGGTTATAATTTGACCCGTTAATTTCATTAAACTATTAGTCTTCGTTGCATTAATGAGGGAATTATAATATTCTATACATTGTTATATATTTAATGGAACAGACTCCATAGTGTAAGAAGACACTTTCATTTCAGTGATCATCTACCAAGCTTCATCATTTTCACAAATTCAACTTTGACCTTCATCCGTGCGTGGGAGTTTGCAAGTCTAGTGCCCTCTCTTATATATTTATTTATAGTCGTCTAAATATATTAATTACAGCTAGCTATTTAATTTGGTTTAATACAGTGCATTATATAATGAAAATCTCCATGATTAAAAATTAAACAACTTTATTATACTACTTATTTATAATGTTTTGATAAAAATTATTTAAATTGAAATATGAATAATAAAATAAAACCTTTAGTTCATTTTTACCTCATTGATATTTTTAATTAATCTAATTAAACTCCCCAACCTTTAATAATTCAACCAAATAAATATTTACTGTACTCAGCACCACCCCTCATAAAATATCTGGGCTTTCCTAGGAAATACCTCAAAACTATATCTATCACGCCACGATTAAATATAGTTAAATATATACATTTTATGTTTTACAAGGATAAACTCTGTTTGTTATGAACTACATAAAATATAAAATTGTATTTCAAAACAAGTAAAACGATTGCAAGAATAGTAATAAAAGCAGCTCCTTACCAGCAACATCACACCGCCACACAGCCTGTGTATTGATTGCCGAGCTGGGTTCGCAGGCGCAGGACCTTCTGCCGGATCAAAACACGAATAACACGGGTAATTGGTGGGATTTGCAATCTTGAAAGTCTTAAGTGTGCTCCTTCAATGTCACAAAAACTGAACAAAAGAAAGTCAAGTAATTAAGTTGGTTTGTCGTTTTTAAAGGGGTAACTCTGGATGGTTTTGTTGGTTTTAAAACGTTTGTACGTTCACAATACAAAATTAAATTTATTTGAAATATTAACACATTTTCATTTCATACTGGTTGACTTTAGCTATTATTTTTAAGTCAGTTTATGGATGATTTTTGGGAATTAAGTTAAGCAAATTAATAGTATAGTGAAACTAAAATTTAGTTGAAAACGAGAATATCCGTAAAGTAGGTTCGTTTGGTTTATCCAAGCTATTACAAATTGTGGTTACACTATATTTTTTAATGTTTGTTCAAAATGTATTTTAGGATGATAACCAAGTAGATAATTTCCTGTGATATAAATTAACAACGATGTGGATTAATTTCCCGTGCTAAAAATCTACCTGAATTTAAAAGTTGTACAGTCCGTAGACAGTGATAAAATAAAATGTATTCTTATTAGTTTAGAAAATTATTATGGTTTGCTAAAAATAAATAATATAAAGTATTAAATTTCACAGGATGCGAAACTTAGGCAACTGTGAATATAGTGAATATTTGTTTTACTTTTGTTTTTAAGTATAGCAGAACCATACATAAAACGCAGTAGCGACGTAAATAAACTTTAAAAGGCCTACCGAACGGATGATGATAATTTATTCATTGGACAGTTAACTTCAGACCTTCAAACACTCTGTTTATTGAAAATCTCTTAAAAAAAATATTAATTTTACAAAATATTACAATAATTTTCAATGACTAATTCTTTGTAAAATTTACAGGATCAATATGCCATGGCTCCATAGCTCCTTAACCGATGGATATTTTGAATATGATTACTACATAATATTAAGTTTGTTCTTAAGGCTTTTCTGATAAAATGTACACTGTTTTGCAGTTTTCTTCCGTTTCTTTTATGTATTGATTTATTTGTTAAAAGTTAACTTTTGTATAAAGTGTCATTTGATAAAAACCTCTATATAACCTATTGTACTGTTAATATTAGAATAAATGTGCTACACAATGTAATAATTGTCAAAAGAAATGAATAAATAAAAAACAATTTCTTTTATATAGAAACTCTGTTATAGGGCTTCTCATTCATTAAGTTTGTCATATTTTAGCATACACGGAATCAGGGCACGAATCTGTCTAGGGGGTATTGGGGTCCTTTTCGGGGAACCAATTAATCATAAACTAAAATCATGTAGCCTAATGAAAGATAATTGTATTTGCTCTCAAGTATTATTACAACATATACTACAACATATTATACAGCTACTAGGAGGTCACGAAATGTGGATATTTATAGGCATGCATTGTGGATGCGATACTCCGTGGATTAACCTCCGCACTAGTGCTGAGTACTACCATTGACTATTGGCTTCAGAAGAAGACATCCCATCTATATGGATCAGCTCTCGCCAATCTTTTACTAATACTAATAAATAATGTACCTAGTTGTGTGAGCCAGTCAGTCAAAGGTACTACAACTAGGACAATCCGCAGCACTATCCTGATAATTAGACCAATTCATTAATACCAAAAGGCAAAAATGTGGTTCGAATTCCACAATAAACTGTAGGCCCCTCGCAGTTGCCATTATATAGCTGTATGGGATATTATGCTATTAATTAACAGCTGTTTCTAAGGAACACGAGTAGTATGTTTTATCTATGGGAATATACTTTAATGCTTTTTATTGAAATGGTGACCATAAAGCAGTTATTTTAAGCCAAAAATGAATGGAGATGAGTGTAGGATGCGTCTAAATCCGATCTTGTAGTCTAAACTGTTAGTGACGTCAAGGCCGATATATTTCTTAGACACAGCTATTAATTAATAGCCCATTAAGCTAAATGGCAGCTACGGGACCTACAATTTAGTGGAATCCGAACCACATTTTTGCTTTGGTATTAAAGAAATGGTCTAATTATCAGGATAGTACTGCGGATAGTCTTATAGTTTTTGTTTTTTTTTTTGTCCTAAGGACGCTAGGCACGAGCTTGGGATTGTTTTTCACATTACTTCAGGCTAGACCTAGGGGTTGCGGCATTATCACTTAGATAAAATCCATTGGTGACTTGGCGGGGATCGAACCCGGGACCTCAGGGACTGAAGTCCCGCGCTCTAACCACTACGCCAGCTCGCTCCCCGATAGTCTTATAGTACCATTGACTATACACCTCTACTAGTAGTAGAGTAGTAGTAGTACTAGTAGTAGAGGTGTATAGTCAATGATAGTACTCACTAGTGCGGACGTGACACCAGGGAGTATCGCATACACAGAATATGTCGGCCTTAGTCACTAACAAGAGTACAAGGTCACGCCATTCAGCATACACTCATCCTTCACTCATAGTTGGGTTAAAGTACGCACATAGTGGCGTCCCCATCTTAAATAATTGGTTGATATTGATATTGTAATTTATTCTAGCTATATAGCAATATCATATTTATTTATTCATATTTTAAGCTTAACATTAAATGGTTCGGGGAAAGCATTTTATTTTAATGAATTTAGATACCCGGAACCTCTCAATGCACTGAGAGTCACTTCCTGACACCGGGTTATTTATAACAAAACTTACAACGGCACGACAGACCTAGTTTTGATATTATTAATTTGGCTCCAACGTGAAACTGCAAAATATGTACAGTATTCTAGCTCTCGTTACTACACTGATAGCCCTAGTATATTTTAATCCACGGTAAATAGCAGACAACATTCCTTTGATGTTTTTTATCAATAGATTCATAATAAATGCATTCGAGAGTGTATTAAAATGATTTTTTTATCAAATTTATCTGTTTTGAACATATAAGGCCCATTTTTTTATAAGTGGGGTGTTATCTTCGATATTCATATCTTTAGCATTATAAGCGTTTGTTTATAAGCTTGTTACAGATAGTTTTTAGATTTAGATTTTATTTGGTTGGTATAGTGCTGATTGTGGTATGGTTGGTTTGGTATGCCTTGATTTTTTTCTTTCTGCTTCTGCTGCTGTCTATGGACTGTGAACATCGGCTGGCCTGATTTACCTTGAAATTTTCGATTATTTGTTAGAAAATGCTGTCCAGATTAGCTCTAAGGAGTGGTAAGTTATGAGATATTAATTTCATTTATACATTTTTCTATTTAATTTGTATTTAAGGACATGTTTATCACATTTCGTACAATTATTAGTCAAACAAGCTTTGGAGTTTGTAAGGTCACTTGGCAAAGTCAACGCTATTGGAGCCTTAATGCATCTGTATTATTAACTTATTATTCATCTTTCAATGAGAAACATAATTATTTCATGTAGCCTATAATGCGGTTTCATTTCCCGCTTTATTTCAAGTTCGGTCCAGCCCATCTAAAATATAAACAAGTTAGGCCTAAATATGTTTAGGCCTACATAGATTTGGCCCACACTAACTTAGGCCTAGGTTTTATATTATCACAGAGTCCAACAATTTAACAAACTAACATAATAAAAAGAGATGGTAGAATATATGACTGTTCCCAAGTCTATATGAACAAAATTGGAACTAAAGGCACTTTGTAATGCTTAAACTTGTTGATAATTTAATTTCATTTTACACTTCACTACCTGATTCATTTAAGTGCACGTCACTGTCTTGAGATTTTAAATTAAATCAATTAAAATACATTAACACGTTCGCTGCTGACCGCTAGATGTCGGAACGGCCCCAGGAGCTGAACTAATGCTCGACGCTGCGTAACATTGCCGCCGTTACACTGAATTACAGTAATAACAACAGTAGTTATACTGGATGGCAATGTTCTGCAATAAAACTGGCTTTGGACATAGTACTAAGTGATTCTGATAGATAGCAGCACTACCCAGGTTGCAGTTGGTAAATTACTTAGTGTCTCTATCTAGCAGGAAAGAGGCGGGACAAAGCCCTGTTCTAAACTACCCTGGTGGTGATTTTGGGAAACTATATTTTTTATTGTCAGAAAGGTATGTCCTCGCGAGCTGCAAATAAATATGGGACGCTCGTGACGAGCTGGCTGATCCATGGAAAAGTTAAACAACAATGAACGTGACGTTCCGGAACATTCCTGGCACCGTGGCCCGGCTGACGTTCGGAACGTCTGTAGCAGCAAACGTGTTAAAGACATCTTTTTTGCACAAAATCAAATAACTTACATGCTAAGTAACCTAATGTAGTTAAATGAACAACAATTTTAACTTCAAATAGTTAACAACTGTACTTAAATGTGTTTGCAGCTCTTCAGGCCAACAAGAGCCTGGCCTCTTCGCTAGTTGCAGTACGAAACTCCTCCGATATTCCATTCAACAGCCCTGAACGAGACCATGTCAACTTCCCCAGGCCCAAGAGGCTGGAAAACGTTTCCCCTGTCAGATACGGGTTTGTCCCAGAAGAATGGTTTGACTTCTTTTACAAGAAAACCGGAGTTACAGGTATTGTGGATAGCATTCAATATAGAAATATTATAAAGCCAAACTGTTTTGAGGTCTCTAGGCTTTTGTATTAACTTACACAGTGTTTTATAGTGATTACGTTGTACAAATCCTCTATTTTGGACACCTTGACTTGGACAGATGAATTTTTCGGTTGATTGTGTTGTTAATTTGTAGGTTATTGTATTTTTATATACAGTAGAATCTTGCTAATTCAAACCTCGAAAATTCGAAAACCTCTATAATTAGAAATGTTTGTTCACCTCAGAAAACCTCTAAAATTCAAAAAATAATATACTGATAGTTCAAATTACGCTTAATGCAGCCTCTACAATGGGAATTTGCACACTACTTGAGCCTCTACAATTCGAATTTTGTTGCCATAATTCAAATTGCTACCGCTACTTCCAAAATTCGAAGTCAACCTCTACAATTTGAACTACATTACCTTATAGCCTCTGAAAATTGAATTTAGAAGAACAAAAAATACCCCTGTTCAAAACATGAACTGACTTTGTTATTGATGTTTCCACAATATGTTAATTAGTCTCCGTTCTCTCAAACTCTCTACACTTAAAACTGGGACCTCCATAATTCAAATTTTTAGCGAATTTCCCTAAAGGGAAGTATTAGCGAATTTCCCTATAGGGAAGTAGTTATTACCGTAGGTGGCACGGTAAGACCTAGACCCGGGACCGATTTACTTTTTCATTTTGATGTCCCCAGAGGCCAAAAACACCATTCGTTCAAATTTTTATATTTGTATATATATATATAGGCCTATATATAGATTTATATATATATATATACGTCCGTGAACGCGATAACTTGAGTAATTTTGGTCCGATTTTGATGAAATTTGGTTTAAAGGTGTAGAGCGGGATAAACTTGAATGAGTTCACGAACCAGCATGATCGGACCATGGGAACGGGGCTTTACGGGGGGTTTTATGGGGTAAAAATTGGTTTTTCTCATTTTTGACCCTCAAAACACAAAATTTCCCAATTTCTCTGTAGACCTTTTTAAAGAGCTTAAAAAACAAATAATTTAGTATATTAAAGTATTTTTGTTCGGTTATTAGTAACGGAGAAAATTTAAAAAATTGTAAATTTAAAATTCCCATGTTATTCTTATGGAGAATATTGTCAAATGTTTAGTTTGCTTGTTTATGGATATATTTTGATCAAACTTGGCAAATTTATTTATTTTGTACTAAGCTATCAATATTTTACTAAAAAAAACATACTTTATTACTTTCTTTGTAGCAGCAAACCTAGGTACTCGTTAAACCTAATGTTATTAAAATATATATAACTGAAATTCAATTCAGACAAATGGAAATTCGCTTAGTTGGCAGGTTTGCTGCGGCGGGGGTATTATTTCTGACCTCTATAATTTCAAACTTCTTATAGTTCGAAATATATTGGCTTTCCTCTGAATTTCAAATTAGTGAGGTTTTAAACTGCACATGGTTAGTTTTAACAATAAATTATTTAATTGTATAACGGCATTCTGGTTCAACATGTACTCTTGAATAAAGATAATATGACTATGACTATGACCTGGGGATTTCAACATGGCTGGGCCCTCCGGCGGTTTTTTATATAGATATCTAAATTATATTTTTAACAGTGTAGTCATCTATAGGCTTTTCCCCACGTTAAGTTAACTGCCTACGAATTATTTTACAAGTAACTGCAGTTTTTCTTCAAAATATCTAGTAGGCCTATTGAAAAGAGTTAAGTAGGCCTAAGTTTTAGGGTAATAACTTATTTATTGAACACAATATAAGCTAACAACCTATCTAAGCACTAAACTAAACTGCCTTATTTCCTTGAATTTGTCTGGACCATCCAAGTTGACTGTGATTTTCATGAAAGGTACTTGGTATCATTAAGTTTAATTTGATCTCAAGTTGTATGTCACTAGAACACCATTACCCATTTAAGTTAAGATAGGTTGAAACTAAAATATAATTTACATAGGCCCACAATGAAACTACCTTTTGTTATATTTGAGGTTAAGGGTGTAGCATAGAGCACAAGGGCCTAGATTTTTTAGAATTTTTTGAGAGGATAGCAGGCTTACATGAATGGGAAAGAGTCCAAACTGGCACAGGAAACACATTTTGTTATATTTGCTTAGCCTGGTATAAAAACACATGAAGAGGTTATAAAATAAAACTACAAAAATTCCAAATACTCACAAAAAGAGTTCCTTTTGGATTTGTCAACTACATTACAATACAATTTTGTTTGGCTAATTGTAAGCATGTGTTTCATGTTATTGGTATTATTTTTCAGGCCCTTACATGTTTGGGTTTGGTGTGACGACTTACCTACTGAGCAAAGAAATTTGGGTGATTGAGCACGACTTTGGTTTTGTGATCGCCTTCGGTCTTATAATGTGGGGAGCGAATAAGAAATTCGGCAAGCAAATAAAAGAGGCCACTGATAAAATGGTTGATGTGAGTGTTCACTCTTAATTGCAGCTTATTCACAATTTATATTATACTGTATAAAATATAGGGACATGGACGGCTGGTGTTGTGGTATAACTGATGGAAGCTAGATTTCCATTGTGGAAACGGAAAGTTCAAATCCTACTAATGGCCCTGCTTGTGTGATTTTGCTAGGACTCGGTACTATATTTGGTAGTAGAAAACAAGATCTCACATTGTGGGGAGAATTTCACTAAATATAGGGATAGAGATCTCTCCAAACAAAAAATCTTAAGATATTTTTAAACTTACGTGAAACTATGTTCAACATGTTGTTTGTAGATTACAACCACACTTTCTTTTCACCAATTTCATCTTTAGTACAATAAATCCAGTAAATTCTCTCAAAAAACGTTAGTTTAAGCAACTTTAGACATAAAAGTTAACTATTCTCACAAAAAATTAAAGTGTGGACAGTTATTGAATCAATAAGGTGCAAATTCTTATAAACCTTGTATTCGTTTAGGAATCTGAAGCAGAAATGGCAGCCGGTGAAAGGGCAGTTATTCAATCTCTGAAGGACGGCATTGACTTTGAGAAGAAGGCTCAGTGGCAGGCCGATGGACAACTGATGATCTTTGATGCCAAGAGAGAGAATGTTGCTCTTCAACTTGAGGCCATCTACAGAGAAAGGGCTCTGCAGGTCTACAATGAGGTATGGTACATCCAACAATTTTTGATCAAATTATGTTAGCCACCCACCAATCATAAACTTGGGGTCGACACTTTTATTTGGGAGAGTACAGACAATTTATTTCTTCAATGATTTTCAGGACCCACAGGGAGAATTTTTCTATTGGTGCAACAACAAAAGCTTCATCCTCCCAAATTGTGGATACATAATCACTAGAGGTCGTGCAGAACGAGGTGAAGCCTGAAATTTTCGGTGGGAACGTTCTAAAGCGGGGAAATCCATGGTAGGGGTAGGAGACGAGCCGATCGTCGCCTCGCATAGCGACACTTCCCCCGCCACACCACTATTCCCCTCCAAGCTTCACCTCGTTCCGTACGACCTCTACCCTCCGCGTTTGCAAGAACATCAACATTGTCAGTTATGATCACCGCTAAATCACTGACAAATCCAGCCCTGAGAAAATCCCAGATATCAAATGTAATCTTAAATGTGACCCCATCTAAAGATCGTGATTGTATTTTTCCTAAATCTTTGTGATCTGTCTATCCCTACTTTTAACTAAAATAAAATGCAAAATGTAGTTGTAGGCTACTAAAATGTAAATTGATCACCCTAAATAGGAGAACAAACAAACTATGTCTCCTGTTTAAAATACATCTATTGTATAGCATCATTTCAACACACTGTTAAAATCACAAAAGAAATAAATTGCCTACCACCCTATCCTAACCAAAAACTAACTTACAAACAGAGGGGATTCAATAAATTTGTTAATTTTCATGCAGTTTTTGTCATACTTAGTAAGTGATGAAAACCAGTTTATCATGACCAGATTGTTAATATTAATTAAACATACATATACAGATTTCTCAGTTTTTTTTTTAAATACTCAGATATTATATAGATGTCAACTATGGCTTTTGAAATGCAAAGAATTTTCTTCAAAACAAAAATGGGCACACATGTTTGATAGTAGGCAACAGGATCATTGGAAAGTCACATTAACTAATTTAAGGAATTTTTAAATAAATTCTTTTGGCTTACCGTACTTGAGCCCAAAGGTTTACAAATAAACAGAAAATGCCAAACAAACTTATGATGCCTGCAAACTAATTCAACTCTATCCCTTTCCAAAATAACTTAACCCGCCACAAGACGATTGCTTAAAATATTAAACTTTTTTCACATGAACTGATAAGACACCCTAACATATGTCTTACACGTTGTGCATGCCTCTTCAGGGCGCATACTGTATAAAAATGGTACAGGCCTTGTTGTAACTGCCGAGGAACAATTTTCCATTTTCCTTTTCTCGATAGCAGTCCCCGGCAATGGGTTTGTGGCGGTAACTGCAAAAATTGTAGCCAACTTAAATTGTATAGCTTTGAAATGGTGCAACCTCCGATTTTATTGGCTTTTGCTCAGCGTGTGTTTAATTTTTTTTTAGTACCTATAAGTATTGTGTTTAAGAAGGCCATGTGTTTCTAACTTTGACTGTTAAAGGATTTTTATTAATGCCTTTTTTGTCCTGTAGGTGAAGAAGCGACTGGACTTCCAAATGGAGATCGAGAACGTAGAGCGAAGGATTGCCCAGAAGCACCAGGTTCAATGGATCATCAACAATGTCCTTAAATCCATCACTGGAGACCAAGAAAAGGACACCCTGAAAAAATGCATTGTTGACCTGAAGGGCCTAGCAGCCAAGGCCTAGATCATTATCTCCGTGCATTAGACTTTACCGTATTGTTCCATTTTTATGTTAAATAAATAAATTAAAACACGATTGTTAGTTTACCAGGTTGGTTATTCACCCTATTCACTGTTTTAAGAAAGACATTGTGTATAGAGACAGAGAAAATAAAAAATAAACCCTTGCCGCAGCAAACCTGCCGACTAAGTGAATTTCCATTCGTCTGAATTGATTTTCAATTAAATATATTTAAATAACATTAGGTTTAATGAGTACCTAAGTAGGTTTGTTCCTACAAGGAAACTAATAAAGTGTATTTTTTAGTAAAATATTGTATAAACTAGCTTAGTATAAAATAAATAAATTTGCCAAGTTTGATCAAAATATATCCATAAACAAACAAACTACAACATTTTACAATATTCTCCAAAAGAATAACATGTGAATTTTTAATTTACCACTTTTTGAATTTTCTCCATTACCAATAACCGTAAAAAAACACTTTGATATACTTTAAATTATTTGTTTTTTTAAGCTCTTTAAAAATGTCAATGTCTATAGAGAAATTGGGAAATTTTGTTTTGAGGGTAAAAAATGAGAAGAACCATTTTTTACCCCATAACAGCCCCCGTAAAACCCCGTTCCCATGGTCCGATCATGCTGGTTCGCGAACTCATTCAAGTTTATCCCGCCTTACACCTTTAAACCAAATTTCATCAAAATCGGACAAAAATTACGGTAGCCTACTCAAGTTATCGCGTTCACAGATGTATATATATATATAAATCTATGTATATATATACTAGGTGGCGTTCGCAGAGGCATCCACAAAATTGATCGGAGTCATCAAGGGTTTATATTATATTGTTTTGGTCATACTGCAGTAATACCAGTCGTTTTTAATGCATGCGTTGCGGGTCTAAAGTAGCAATTTTACTCTTTAGGAAGTAAAAAAAGTTTTTATCCTCTATGGAGTAAAAATAGTTTTTATCCTCTATGGAGTAAAAATCAGCTGTTGTCAACTCAGTTGTAAATTTCTATTATAAACGATTGCATGTATCGAAATATGTATCGATTCGTGCTTCGAAATTATTTTAACCTACAGTCTACAGTCTCTTCCCAAAGCGTTTTAGCTTTGCAGATACATTAATCCATTCCCACACTCAACACGCTCACCTTTACTACTTCCTTCACCACCCCCTACGTCGTGGACCTATTTCCCTCTCTTCCCATAACATTTTAGGATTGCAGATATATTAATGTAATTGCCAAAGACAGTTCCCACACTCTGCACTGCAAGCCTTACCACTTCCTTCACCATTCCCTATGTCATAGACTTGTTTCCTTCCTTTCTCATAGCATTTTTGGATTAAAGATACATCAATCTAACTGCCACAGACGGTTTTCACACTATGCTCATACTTTACTACTTTCTAAGCCTTTTTCTACATCGTGGACCTGTTTTCATCACTTTCCATAGCAATTTAGTATTTTAGATACGTTAATCTAACTGCCACAAACATTCCCCACACACCGCACTGCTAGCCTTTACTACTTCTTCCACCATTTTCTATGTCGTGGGGATGCTTCCATCCCTTCTCATAGCATTTCAGCATTGCAGATACATTAATTTAACTGCTACAAACGGTTTCCAGTTCCCACACTCCACACTGCTCACCTTACTAATTCCTTCACCACTTCATACGTCTCGGACCTTTTCTCTCCCTTTCCATAGCATTTTATGATTGCAGATACCATAATCTAATTGTCATAAACAGTTCCTATACTCCGGACAGCTAGCCTTGACTACTTCCTTCATCACTTCCTACGTCGCGGACCCGTTATCCTCCCTTCCCATGGCATTTTATGATTGCAGATATCTTCATCTAATCGTCATAAACAGTTCCCACACTCCGGACTGCTCGCCTTTACTACTTCCTTCACCACTTCCTACGTGACGGACCTGTTTCCCTCCCTTCCCATAGCATCATAGGATTGCAGATACCTTAATCTAACCGTCATAAACAGTTCCCACACTCCGGACAGCTTGCCTTGACTACCTCCTTCGCCACTTCCTACATCGTGGACCTGTTTTTCTCCTTTCTTACAGCATTTTATGATTGCAGATACCTTAATCTAATCGTCATAAACAGTTCCCACACTCCGGACTGCTCGCCTTTACTACTTTCTTCGCCACTTCCTACGCCACGGACCTTTTTCCCATCCTTTCCATAGCATTTTATGATTGCAGATACCTTAATCTAATTGTCATAAACAGTTCCCACACTCCGGACAGCTCGCCTTGACTACTTCCTTCACCACTTCCTACACATGATTCCCTCCCTTCCCATAGCATCATAGGATTGGAAATACCTTAATATAATGGTCATAAGCAGTTCCCACACTCCGGACAGCTTGCCTTGACTACTTCCTTCATCACTTCCTACGTCGCGGACCCGTTTTCCTCCCTTCCCATAGCATTTTATGATTGTAGATACCTTAATCTAATTGTCATAAACAGTTCCAACACTCCGGACTGCTCGCCTTTACTACTTCCTTCGCCACTTCAAACGCCACGGACCTGTTTCCCTCCCTTTCCGTAGCATTTTATGATTGCAGATACCTTAATATAATCGTCATAAACAGTTCCCACACTCCGGACTGCTTGCCTTGACTACTTCCTTCATCACTTCCTATGTCGCGGACCGATTATCCTCCCTTCCCATAGCATTTTATGATTGCAGATACCTTAATCTAATCGTCATAAACAGTTCCCACACTCCGGACAGCTTGCCTTGACTACTTCCTTCATCACTTCCTACGTCGCGGACCGATTATCCTCCCCTTCCCATAGCATTTTGTGATTGCAAATACCTTAATCTAATGGTCATAAACTGATCCCATACCCCGAACAGCTCGCCTTTACTACTCTTCCTTCACCAATTCCTATACGTCTCGGACCTGTTTCCTTCCCTTCCAATAGCATTTTAGGATTGCAGATACCTTAATCTAATCGTTATAAACAGTTCCCACACTCCAGACAGCTCGCCTTGACTACTTCCTTCACCACTTCCTACGTCGCGGACCCGTTTTCCTCCCATCCCATAGAATTTTAGGAATGCAGATACCTAAATCTAATCGTCATAAACAGTTTCCACACTCCAGACTGTTCACCTTTAGTACTTCCTTTAACACTTCCTACGTCGCGGACCTCAAGCTAGTGTCGTCATTTGATTATATTTATGATCCATACCGTTTCTATTCTAATATCTGTGGAACAATGCTATCAGCTATTTCTTTATCTACTGCATTCAAAAGTTAACAGCTGATTATATGTCTTTGTTTATGTGTCAAATACTGCTTCCATAAGGATTACATTGAAACTTTGAGACCCAGTGGGGCGGATTCCTGAGAGTTATTTTTAACGCCATATAGATGTTGGCACTCACCGATATGGTCTTTATCACCATCCAAAATTTGAAAACGAATGATTCAGCCGTCTAGGAGGAGTTTGCGTATTACGAAATGCATAAAAGTCGACGTATAAGAGCTTCGCTCGCTCCGCTCAATAAATCTATATATATACATATAAAAATTTGAACGAATAGTGTTTTTGGCCTCTGGGGACATCAAAATGAAAAAGTAAATCAGTCCCGAGCTTAGGTCTTACCATGCCACCTACGGTAATAGCTACTTCTCTATAGGGAAATTCGCTAAATGTGTGAAAAATCATAATGTTTCACAATAAGCTATAAGATACTATGTTTATAGAAAATATCTTTGAAGTAGAGAATAGTTATTTGTGTAACCAGTGGGCAAATGGCACACTAGCAACATTGAACAAAATGGGAAATACTGCAACAGCTGATCGTAGTCGCTACATATTAAGTGTTACCAACCTATTTCCAAGCGTACACGGATTACATGCATAATATAAGCACACTGTTTTGTGTTGTTTGGTTGGAATGCTGGTGTGTGGCAAAACTCAGAAGTAACTAAATGCAGCAAGTAGCAACTTTCTGTACTATAATCAGTGCAAGGATGCCCTCTTTATCGGGTGACTGTGGGAAAATATCTTTGAAGAAAAGAACAATTTCAGGTGTTTGAAGTCTGTTGTTTGAAGTATTATTTTTGTAGTTTGTGAGGTGTTTCCATTTAGTATATTTCACTACTAATGAAAGTGACACATTTCAGGGTAGGACGAGCGAGGTACAGAAGCCGAGCTTAGAATAAGTTTTAGAGCCCCAAAATCGAAATTGTGTGATGAGTAGTGAATGGTACTTTTCATTACAATGTAAATAATCACGTAAAGCTTTTTAGTTTTAATTAATAAAACATAGTTCCATAAAACGAGGAGCGATACTCCTTTGGGGTCACGCTCCCGCATGCAGTAGATTGTTGATACTCCAAAAGGAGGCGTTGAGAGTGATAACCTCTACTGAAATAACAGGCAAAGATTTTACTCATAGGCCTATCTTTCAACGTCTCGGCATATTGACTGTTTATGGACAATATGTCCTCAATTGTCTGATACACGTACGCCAGAACATCTCTAAGTATGGAAGAAGACAAGATATACATCAGCATAACACCAGGAACGCTAGAAACCTCGACACCCCTCAATGCAGACTTTCCAAATCCCTGAATAGCTTCCCAGTGACCGCAATTAAACTCTACAATAGTCTGCCTGAAGAAGTCAGAAGTATGGATGTGGCTGGGTCTATTTACACATTTAAAGAATTAGATGACGTGCCACTTTTTTAACTCGCCGCCATCTCAGTTTACTTTTTAAAATAAATTTGACGCAGTCCATCCGGAATCCCAAGTTTTCATACTATAGTTTTACAATAATTTAAAAGTTAACTGTCAGATATTTTCTGTAATCAAAGAAAACTATCCTAGCTCCTGTTGAGCTGGATGGAAACTTAATTGGTTTGGGACAGGAAAAGTAATGTTTAGGACAGGCAAAATCATTGTATTGTAGAATGGAAAACGATGATAATCGTAAAATTTGACGTGTTGTATATGAGGCATTTTCATATACAAAGTGATGAAAATAGTTATTTGTGCAACTAGTGAGCAAAGTGAGTAATTGACTCTCGAG